CGCTGTAATTTTCCAAAATAATTGGGGTATACTTGATTTTTTAAAAATTCNCTTTAACTATGCACTTAGGTCCACAAACCACATAAAGGTCATGTGGCTATTTTTTAATGTTAGGGAGGTGATGTGCACGTTGGTCCAACTACATGGGGATAAAGTGAAGTTTGCCCTTATTATTATAATTGTATTTTGTCTTCTTGTAATGGACATCACAACACCATAGAAAACTAATTATCTCCGTTCAGGGGCGGATTTATAGTAGGGCCAACTGTCCCCGCTGTAATTTTCCAAAATAATTGGGGTATACTTGATTTTTTAAAAATTTTAAATTTTTTAAGAATTTGCCTCCAATAAAAATTTTAGGAGTAGTTTTATATTTTACAAAACATGTAGGATGTCGCCACCATCACCACCTGCCTCATCCAAACCCACCACAACCTCAAAGATAAGAGATGAATCAACTATAAACCAGCCAAAATCAGCCAACAAATTAGAGTGAGGGGTAGAAGAGAAAAGGAGAAGGGAGTCGTGCAACCTTCAATGGCAGCTCAGCCTGCCTAACTTCCTTGCTTTGTAGGATAATGTAAAGATATTTTTTTGGGCTTCTTGTTGATGTTGGGAAAAGGAAGATAAGAGAGAGAAAATGACATAAAGAGAAGGGGGGACAAGAAAAGAGAGATGAACAAGCGTGTGGGACGAGAAGAGGGAAACAGTCTGAAAGGGAGGAGAATAGGGTGGCGTGTGTAAGAAAATGGAGGAGGGAAATAAGGAAAAAATAGAAAAAAATTGTGACAAGGAATGGAGGTTCTAGACTCTAATTATTTTGCCCATGACCAAGTGGCCCTACTGACCTCTAAACATACATATATGATATGCATGCACATTTGATGGACATGAGTCATAAGAGATTATATGTGAGAAAAGAAGTCATCAAAGCTTATTTTGACCACATCCTGGAGATTTATTCAAACACCATTTTGTGCATAGAAATATTCTCACTTAAATGCATACAATGGGTTGAACCCGCAATCATTAAACCCGAACAGGTCCGGGTTAAACCTTTGACACCGTAACTCAAATGTTGCTTGAATTTAAATTGAGTTGGGAATTTTTTGCCCAAGCTCGGCCCAAATAGTAAGGATCTCCATCTAATTATTGAATTTTCCAAATTGAATTTAGATTAATTTGAACAAGTTCCACCCCCTTGTGGATAATTTACAAAATTGAAATGACAAAAATATATTTTTTATTATTTTTTTGTTGCCTCTTGCTACACATTGCTCGCGTATATGAATTGCATCTTTAATGGTGTTATTTCAATAAAATTTGCAATATAAAAACTTTATTAAGAATTAATATTTTTTAAAAAACTATGCTAATATTAGTAATTTAATTTATTAATGAATTTTAGGTTGCCCCCACTATAAATGTTCCTACCTCTGCCCCTTTCTCCATCTTCAACGTAAAACAACATAAAAATGAAAACAAGCCTAAGTTCCATTTCAATAACACGAGGCATGCCTTGGAAGCAAATGTAGNAAATGTTCCTACCTCTGCCCCTTTCTCCATCTTCAACGTAAAACAACATAAAAATGAGAACAAGCCTAAGTTCCATTTCAATAACACGAGGCATGCCTTGGAAGCAAATGTATCAGACCTCAAATAAGCCGACCATCATGCAACAAGACCCAATGACTGATGTCAAAACACTACAGTACTCATAGACCCTAGTAAATAGCAGTCACAAATGATTGTCAACACCACCCATGTTGAACGACAGTTGATAGCTAAAGAACTCTTATTGATAAAACAAACTGAGAACCATCACTACATCTACACTTCACTCCCCGTGAAGATAAATCAATGCTTCAATGCATATATAACATAGAAGTGTCCAATAAGAAAGGTAACATACAAGATGATTTCGCCAAGTGTCATTTGCTTGTTAAAAATTGAATTTGTAAAGCATATCTCCAGTATTACACAATTTTTTGACATGAATTGGGCAAGAACCAAAAGTAATCAATATCGATCATTCCTATGCGGTAATAGCATAACCACTGATTTAGCCAAGATCTACTTCTTTTAGGAATGGAAGATAAGATATAGGGTAAAGGGGCACTATTATTTAGCACTATGTGTTGACAATTGTGCACGATCAATACAAAAGGAAGACCATTATAAGAGGGACCGACATAGATTATATTTTAACCAATAACAGGGAAAACAAAAACTTACTTGAAAGTTCAGAGACTTGCTCCGGAGTAAGTTTGGCGGAGAATCCACTCGCGGCGTGCTTGTAACTGTACACGATCGACTCTTTTGCCGCATCCTCGCTAGAGCAATCAATACATACACAATTATACGCATATTATCAATCAATATAACTCAAATACCAACGATTCAAAGGGGAGAGAGAGTGACCTGCCGAGGACAGAAGCGAGGGTCTTAATATGATGTGCTTCGGGTTCTATGCCTTCAGGCTTCTCAGTATAAACAATGTGAACAGCTGCCCCAGATGACGTTGATTGTGAATTCGCCATTGAAATGGTTATAATCCAAGATAGAGAGCAAATCAACAACAGAATTGAGAATGAACTCCTTCCTCTTTGCATACCGGTGGGCAGATCGAGAGAGAGAGATATGTATGTATATTATGTACGTTTTCGTGACGCTTATATGCTTAAGGCCGAAGGATGGTCTATCTCACGTGTATCGAAGTCTCCGCTTCTTGTTCACACAGCTGGCTTGACCTGCAATCCAAATCCTCTCTTCTTATGCCACATAGTCTACGCTGAGATCCAACTTTTGGTAAATTATAGTTTTGACCCAAAGGTATCACCTAATTTGAAATCTCGCTCTTTGTAATTGTCGTCCAAACTTTGAACAATACAAAAATTATGTGCATCATCAAGATGTGTCATCTCCGGCAGAGCTGCACAGGGGTCCACCCTCAATTTTTTTTTAAATTATGTGTATATATATTTTAGTACTTTTTATTGTGTTAAGATTTTTTTACAATTGGCCTTACTATTCATATTTATAATTTTTATTATACCTTCTTATTTTAAAAATAAAAGTGATTGCAATTCATCTTCAATTGACTCTTATTTTTTTTGTAAGATCTCGTCTATATTTTTATTCAACTATTGGTTGTAGTGTTTATTATGTTTCAATCAATGTTCTTAAATTTTAATTTGGTGGTTTTGCTATTCCAATATCTCAATGNAGATCTCGTCTATATTTTTATTCAACTATTGGTTGTAGTGTTTATTATGTTTCAATCGATGTTCTTAAATTTTAATTTGGTGGTTTTGCTATTCCAATATCTCAATGATAATGTTTGAAAAATATTTTATCGACTTAGTAAAAAAGTTGAAAATAGTGAAAAATTGATTGCATAAAGATTGTGAGTGGTTGATCAAAAAAACTTTTTAATTACAAAACATCAATTAGTCCCATTTTTTTTTTTACATTGATGATAATTAGCCTTTTTTTTTTGTATAAACAAAATATACATTATTTTTTGGCCCTTTATTTATGTTGAGCAGAATTTATGTATCACATAACCATTTAATATTACAACTAAGAAATTGAATTCTCAACATATAAAACACACCAACGGTTAATAATCTTAATTATTTTTTGCTAAAAAAAATTGCATATGTTATGCACAGCTCTCAATGNCCTTTATTTATGTTGAGCAGAATTTATGTATCACATAACCATTTAATATTACAACTACGAAATTGAATTCTCAACATATAAAACACACCAACGGTTAATATTGATCCAAGCAAACAAAATTCATCTTAATTATTTTTTGCTAAAAAAAATTGCATATGTTATGCACAGCTCTCAATGTTAAAAAAATCAACCAACACACTCTCTAATGCCAAACAATCCCATTAACACCTCCCTCTCTCTCTTCATTTGCCTTTATCTCTCTTTATTATTTTCTCTCTATTCAATTTAGTTTTAATTTGTGTAATTAAATAAAAGGAAATAAAAAATAAATTACTATTTAAAGTATAAATATTACACAAGCAATGTTTAATTTTTGGTATTATAGGGCATTTTTAAACAGGGGATTACTACTAGTGATATAATAAATGTAAATGCATTAGCCCATTTACTTCCTTACCTCACTAAAAAAAAAGAAAAAAAATTAAAGTATATAATTAAANTGGCATAATATACACACGACAAGAAAAGTAGTTAGCAAGTTCCACAGACATCTAAATGACCAATGATGTAGCTAGCCACTTGTCCACCAAAAGAAGAGAGAACCCAATCGAGAACCTTCAGCTTCCATTGATGAAGTAATCAATATATACAAATACAAATGAACATCAACAAGGCAGAAAGGCTGGAGGAAGAGAATATCCATACCCAAAAACCATGTNTCTGAAAAATTAAAAGATTAAGGGCCAAAGTGGGAAGGGGGTGATATTTGAGGGGTAAAAAGTATAATTGACCATCTCTTTTAATTACTTTGGTGTTATGTACATGGTCCAGCTTCCTTAGTCTAAGAAGGACATTCTTCTTCTTCTTGTTTCTTTGTATTTTTGTTTTTCTTTTCTAGTTGATTTCACTTTCTTGTTAATTAGTGTGTATAACAAAGAAAGGGTCATACCTTTCACCCTCCTTTTCCTCCGTTTATTTTTTTCCCCATCATGGTCACATATAATATTTTAAATGGAGATGGCAAAGAAAAAGTCATGCCATTTTGTCTTAAGATTTCCGAGTTCTTTTCTTGGTGTAAATCCTCGTAACATGTCACAATGTTTCGACAAAGAAAGGGTCAAACATCGAACCGATCAAAATTTAACATGTCAATAAGAATGCTTCTAAACTGCAATGCAAAGGCATGTGGTTGACGAAATCGTCTAAAGAATTGAGACCATTTGTAAAATTTAATTTCTACTTGATTTGTAGCCTTCTCATAAAAAGAATCCCATCAAATATGCATTTGATGATAACCCAGATATCAAAATCTCCTTCAATAATATTTCCTTTATTTATTTCATGGTACATTACCCGTTGTATATTGGTGAAAGATCCACTTACAATTAAACAACAAATAAGTTCTTTTCTTTTACAATAAACCATACATGTATACACGAGGGGGAAAAAAAATAGAGCAGCTCATGGCATAATATACACACGACAAGAAAAGTAGTTAGCAAGTTCCACAGACATCTAAATTACCAATGATGTAGCTAGCCACTTGTCCACCAAAAGAACAGAGAACCCAATCGAGAACCTTCAGCTTCCATTGATGAAGTAATCAATAAATACAAATACAAATGAACATCAACAAGGCAGAAAGGCTGGAGGAAGAGAATATCCATACCCAAAAACCATGTAACCGACCACTCGAGAACAGTCTTTTATACCATGATTTTTGAATTTGCTGATCCAACACAGTACCGCAAAAAGGCATCTTTTAGTGAAAATCTTGTCAATTAGGATCCTCCGCTTCCTGTGCTGTTCGTGTGGCCGTATGTATGGGCATTCATTGATGATTATACGCAGCATAGAGTAACATAACACAACACTAGTCCTTCAAATAGGCAATAGCATATCAACATTCTTCGGAAGACTCCAGAAGATTTCCAGCTATTTGGAAAGTGTCCCTATGATTATGATGTCCACAACCTGTGCATAGCATGCAACTGACTGAAGTCAGTGGACTTCAAAGACATCTTGTAAAGCTCTCTGAGTTTTCCAACATCAGCAGACCTAGTAGATGGAATTTGCTGGGTGTTGACAGAAGATTTGTTTGTGTTCGTCGGAAGTGTCATGGCCAACATTCTTTTCAGTATCATCTGCAACTGACTCCAAAATTTAGCACTGATTTCTGGATTCTCACTGCTGAAAGAATCTGATGTTTCATTATCAGAAACGTAGCGCCCTTCAAGCAGGCGAATCAGTGTGGATTCCAACATCTGGTACAAATGCCCTAATCAGTAAATTGCAGCCTAGAACTAGCCCCGAAAAATAAACGACCACCACCACACTGGTGTAAATATCAGTTTTTTTGGCAGGAAAGAGTAATTATATTAATAAAATAAAAAAGAGTTACAAAAAACCAATCATAGGTAGACAAGTTGTCCAAACCAATGACAGGTCAAAAAGAGAATCTTACAAAACATAACTACGGATATTACAACCATAGAATATTCTGCACGAAGTAGTCCAACAAATAATAATGCAAAAAAGAGAGACATTCTCTTAAAATCCCTAGACACCAAGGCCCAAAAGGAGGCCAAGGAATAAATCCACTCCCATAAACATTCAACCTCCTCACATTTATCTCAAAGATTGTCAGATTCCTTGTCAAACTAATAACCTAAATAGTAGCAAAAAATCCACAAAAAGATAAAGCTGATCTCCCTGGTACAGGCTCCTCCAATCTTTTACTAACCATTAATTTTTAAAAACGCAAAAAAGATTTTAAAAATAATAATCCAAAGATGGCACACCAAAGCATTTTTAGCAACACCTTTCATGTTTCAGAAACAGCAAATAATTCACAAAAATGTCAGAAAAAACAGGTTCGGGGACAATGGGTCGAAATTGGTTGGAACAGGGAAACTCAGGTATTTGTGATTGATAATATCATACTAATATGCAATTCTGACAATATAAAAAGCAAATATAACAGGGGAAAAAAGAAAGACCAAAGCATACCGTATTCGAGTGAAAAGAACTTGAGAGGCTTAATGACAGAGCTGATCTCTCTATTAGAATAGTTAGGTACATCATGGGATGCGTCTTTGGCCCATAGAAGTCAATGGACTTCTGCCAATTCCTCTCGGCCAAGGAAGCATACTGCTTGACCCTCTGAACACTGTTTCCACCTTTGGGCACAGTGGTTTGCTTCTGATCTGACTCCCAAAACTTCAAACAGCAATCCCTTTGGAAGCAGGCCAGCTGAAAGTATGCATATGCAGCCTCCTGTTTGCGTAACTCACCCATTGACTCATACACAGATAAAGCCTCCCTAATGGCCTCATTGGCTGATATCTCATGCTTTCTGAGTTCTTTTTTAGCTCTACTGATGCTAGGACTGGTACAGTCTTCCAGGACTCCATTTTCATAAACCTCGGCAAATGTATCCTCTCTTGCCAGAAGCATGCCAAGCCTCAGATACGTATGAGCAAATTGAGTGCATACTTCATTCCTCAAGTTGCTTGAGACAGACCCTGCTTCATCTGCAATATAATTTAGTTCTATCTTTGCTGCTCCATAATACCTGAGTGATTCACCGTATTCTAGTTTTACAGTCTCAAGTGCTCGGTTGTATGCATTTTGGAAGATTAAATGTTTCTTGAGACTTTCAATCTTCGACACCATCTCTTCAGCCAATGCCCGTCTGCCATGCCCCAAATTACAATAAATCAATATAATGTTAATGTGATCAGAAACTTCTTTGAATGACTTGATAGCATCATCAAATGCGAGTTCAGCTTTGTCCAATTCTTTTCTTTCAAGTCTATGTCTGCCAAGTTCATTACAAACCCACCCTTTCTTTTTAACAACAGATTGTAGTTCTGCTGAATCAGTAGGATGCCCACCTAGTGCTTTTCTAGCTTCTTCATAACAGCTTAGGGCAGCTGAAAGATTGTTATCTACATCTCCAATTACAGGACCACTAAGGTATTTAAATATACCACCATTTTGCACCTTGGTTGCCTCCATTGAAGAAGTCTCAGATTGAGCATCCATGGTAGACCCTGCATTATGCAGTTCCATAGTACCTTCAATTACTTTGGATTCAGTAGCTGCCAAGGTATTTTCTTCAAGTGCATCTACCCTTTGATCTGAAGCTTCATTTCGTGTATCCTTTTTACTGTGCTTTATGTATCTACTTTCCCAACAGTTTCCATTTTCCCCTTTGTGATAAACCTGGTCATCTTCGGCGTTTTCAGAGTAGGAGGTGCTCTTGGCATGTAGTTTTCTGGTATGCTTTCTGCCATGACCCAAATCACCAGTGCTGCTGCTTGCACTGCTGCCACTACTGGCCCTGTCACTCTGGCAACTGCAGTTTATCAAAGAACATGAAGTGCAGTTCTGGTTAAACTGTCCCAGCTTCTTCTTGAGCCTCTTGACCTCCTTCAAAACTTCAGATGACATTCTCAATTCTCTGGTAGAAGACTTCCTCTCAGCTTGAATTGAGATCTCTTTACCCTTTATCATGTGGAACTCAACATACACGTCCCCAACTAGGGTCCACGCCTTGGCCCAGAAGAGATAAGAAGAGAACCTATCAAAAGTAAGGCAATCACGTTTTCTACCAGAGTTTACTTTTGTTTCATCAGCTTTATGGGAACTTGTCTTATCACCTCTACCATTGATTTCCACCTGGGATGGCAAGCTACAAACCATAGATGAAATGAACCTTGCATCTTCCAGATGCTGCGGCATTGATCCATAAACTAAACATGCTAATTCCACAACCTTCAAGGCTTGATGGAACTGACCATCGTCCTTATAGGTTTGTCCAAGTGCCAAATAAGATTCTCCAAGCAACAGAACAAGTTTCCATGACTTATCATCCAGTTTGGACGTTGGGAGCCATTCCCGAATATCACAAACTTCAATACAGTCTGCATCCCCACATGCGCAAACAGAAAATTCCACAGATGAAGATGGCTTATCTTGACTTCTGCTTCCATGATCCAGCTCCATGTCCATGCTTTGTAGTTGACGCTTCCATCTTAGAGACTTAATAGCCTGAGAAACATGATGTATTGCAGCCAACTTAGAGGAGATTGGATCAGCAACAGTTTGTACCACATGAGCAGGAGTTGTTGACATTTCACAAACTGCAAAGCTTTGATCACTAGAACTTGGCACATCTCCCAGATTTCCTGCTTCACACTCACTTGATGCTACCAGTGGTGATAATTTGTCATTCAAAGCCATCATCACAGAAACTTCTGGTCCAGAATCTTCAAATGTTTCTGCATCTTCACCAGGTTCATCCTGTGCAACTGAAGACTGTTCCATTTCATGGATAACCGACTTAGAAATACCACTAAAATTTTCAAAACATTCTTCTTCAGCATCAGCAAGTGTAACCTCAGACTCTACGGGAAGTGCTTCACATGTTGAATCCAGTTCTCCTTCATAATTTAAAAGGAGCCTTGCATATTGCTCATGAGCAAATGCCCGTACAACCTGTCCACCATAACCTCTGATTGTAAATTTGAGCCATCTACGCTTATATTATTGATGATTTTTTTTAGATTCTAAAAAAATGAAAATTAAGAAACACTTTAATTGAGCATAATTCCAGAGAAGGCAAGTACCAAATGATCTGGTTCATCCAGGATATTGAGACATTTTTTGAAGAACTTTGCACACCTTGCCCTGTTATTGGGAGACTGCAGCAAAACCATCTAGCATTAGCGACAGCTAATTATGGGAAACCAAATTATATAAACACAACAGCTATACCACACCATTGAAAGTGAAAGTCTGTGAGCTATACGATACAAGAGGGTTCCTAGAGAAAGTAAGGAATCACTTCTTCCTCTATGAATTAGAGTGGGTAAGGAGCTTGAGCTATCGTCACAATCATCAGAGGAATAGTTTTTGGATATAACAGATAGATCAAAAAGTTGAATGACATCTTCTCCTGCACTTTTGTGTAGCTGTCAAATACAAAGTCAGAAAATCAGATNAGGAGCTTGAGCTATCGTCACAATCATCAGAGGAATAGTTTTTGGATATAACAGATAAATCAAAAAGTTGAATGACATCTTCTCCTGCACTTTTGTGTAGCTGTCAAATACAAAGTCAGAAAATCAGATATAAGTCTATTGACCAACAAAAGAATAAATTAGAACAGGGTAGGTCATATGAAAATAAATCACAGCAGTACCCAATAAGCACCAGGGTCTTGCTTGCAGTTTTCCTGTAAGAACCTCAAAACAGAGAGACCATTTTGTCGGACAACATGGGGATGAAACGCAGGAGTGCCCTCCTCAGAGATGCCCTTCAAAAGAAATATATCATCTGTCTTTAACAGCTCATAACCCTGAACAACACCATCTTGATGGTAACAGATGGCCAATTCGGGGACACTAGCCATGACATTATCAAGCCAAGCTTCAAGCCAAGTTAAGGGAGTGACCTGTCAAGCATATAGGAAATATGAAGAACGCAAATAAGATACGCACAAATAAATAAATCTAGTGGTATGGGATCAACCTGCCGCGAAACATCCCATAAATGCAAGCTCACTGCAACATACTTCTCATTACTAAATATGAGCAAGTCACTGCCTAGAAGCATCCGGAAGTTGTGAAATTGCCAAAACAAAACCCTTAAGAACTCATCAGTACTGACTCTTCTGTATTTTTCAGACTCTTGCACTGAACATCTTTGCTTTTCTTTAACTTGTGAGACCTTTTTGACAGCATCCTGACCCTTGTTTCTCTTATTCTTCTTTTTCCCATAGAATAAATTATCCTGATGGTTGAATCCTTCTTCTCGAGAGTCGTCACTGTGTCCAAAAAACGGGGATGCATGCCTTTGTGCTGGATGGTCAGAAGATTCATATGGTGCCTCCTTGGACTCAAATGGCCCAGGAAGAACGGAGGAATTTGATTGCTCCTCTGCTGGGGAATGAAGAGTTGGAGGACAATCACAAGCTTCCATTCTTACCGAATGCATCGCAAAATTTAAAAATAAAGATTGATCTGCGCATTTTGATTGGTTGTTATGTCTTCTAACCAACTTTTCTCCCTCTTCAATGTCAGGCCTGTGCCTCACAAAAATTTGAAGATGGTAAGAATCTTATAAGAAGCAATGCAGAAAATACACAGAAACATACCCAGAATTCAGAACTAGAGTCTGGCCAACACGATGAACTGCAAGAGACAATCGAGCCTTGGAATATGGTATCTTAAAGATTTGCTTTAGAATGTCAGTGGGAGCTATGACATCTAGCTCATCTCCATACTCGACCAAACCAGAGACCGCAAGGGCCTCTCCTTTCCTCGTAAGATTTGGTGTAATAGCACCACTTTCCCATTTTAAATCTGCCAAGGGTCAGAAAACACTTGTTACCCTAATGTATTGCATCTCCATATATACAAGCATAATATAAGAGTAGAATCAGATCGTCTAAAATATCTATTTTGCAGAAATCTATATTGGAACACCCACTATCGGAAGAAGTATATCTAACTCTTAGATCATGAATAAATGTAAAAGTGGTTCAGTTGCATAGCCAGTATATGCAAGGGCAGGTAAACAAGCATCCTTCCAGGAGGCGTGGCATGAGTCACAAGGGAGATCAAAGATTTTAGAGGCATCTTTTTTTTTGTCCAAAAAATTGACTGCTTGGAAGAATGTAACCTAGTAAGTTGGCAACAACCATTAATTTGAAAGAAACAAATGCAACCATTTACCTGATTTAGTAGAACAATTAAATGAGGCATGACAAGAGTCACAAGGGAGATCAAAGATTTTAGAGGCATCTTTTTTTTGTCCAAAAAATTGACTGCTTTGAAGAATGTAACCTAGTAAGTTGGCGACAAGCATTAATTTGAAAGAAACAAATGCAACCATTTACCTGATTTAGTAGAACAATTAAATGCAGCCATTATTCCAAATTATTAATTTTCTAAGGACAATTAAATACACAACTCAGTAAAGCCTAATCTCAAATTTCTCAACTACATGAGACAACTATATGCACTACCGTCATCCTTCAACATAAGTAAGGCATTACAGACTTGGCGGCAATGTCAAGGTACGATCCTTTTGCTGATGTGTAACTATCTTCAGTTGTATCCGGTGGCTATCAAAAATAATTGACTCTCTTTCTTGTATTGCTGTATATCTATAAGAGGAACCCCTGAAACTTGAGTTTAAATGAAGAGGATTATTGTCAATAGTGGGTTCACTGACATAGTATGAGGCTAGCTCTAGGGTCTAGACACTACAGTCCAAATAGCATTTACAATACTGCTATAATAGAAGCTTTTCACTACTTAATTAATACTTCAGAAAGGAACAAAACTATGTACAAAAAACTGAAGACCTGTCAGACTCACCAAGCACAATGAAGTCAAGATGGAAATCTATGTCAAGGTAAATTAATGTGCCCCATTAGCTGAATCAAACATGTTTGCAATAGGTTAAATTCATGGTAGGCTTCTAGATCAATTAACTTTAGAGTACCAAATTAAAATTCTTTTCTTTAACTTTGTTGGAGTATCCTACCCAAAACCAATTGACAATGAGTGTACTAGCCCCCTCAAACATATGAACCAAACTTGGATGATTCTATTTTTTTGATGCGGGATACAAGCTCTATTTACACCCTCACTCACCTGGGATCTGGGTTCGCATGTGAGGCTAACAAACAAATAAACAAAGAACCATGCATACCAAAAAATTCAAATGAGTAAGAAATTTGTCCCACTGACCATCTAAGGNTTCTATTTTTTTGATGCGGGATACAAGCTCTATTTACACCCTCACTCACCTGGGATCCGGGTTCGCACGAGAGGCTAACAAACAAATAAACAAAGAACCATGCATACCAAAAAATTCAAATGAGTAAGAAATTTGTCCCACTGACCATCTAAGGCTCAGCTCTAATACCTCATCTCCACCTCCCTCTACTACTGTTTCAAGCTGCCAATAGAACTCCCATGCTGTTGGTAGGCCCTGGATTTATTATGACATCACCACTCTCTCTTCTTGATGTTTGCTATATCCCTCAATAATCTTTGAACTTGTTTTCTATTTGATTACGTTGTTCAATTCTTTTCCACTTGTTGTGTCCTCATTTCATGAATTTGATCGGGCAGGCTGTGGAGGGCTATGTGTTGGAGGGCTATATCCTCTATAAGTACAACTCTTCTACCTCTTTCGGCTACATCTCAATTGGCTTCTGATGATGTGGATCACTTTGGTTTTTTTAACACTTGTCATTCCTCTGATTTTTATTCATTTTTATGTTTTATGCACTCTCTGCCTGAGCCTGCCTATTATATGGAGGCGGCTCTTGATCTTATTTGGCTATAGGCTATGAATAGAGAACTTTTTGCACAGCATAAAATCGAGACATAGAATCTTGTGCCTTTACCTATTGGTAAATGTGTTGTTGGTTGTCGGTAGGTATATACGATTAAAACTAAAGTTGATGGCCTTGTTGAAGGACATAAGGCGAATTGGTTGCTAAGGGATTTGCACAAGAATATGTTTTTGATTATGAAGAGAATCTATTTTTGTTGCAAAGATGACCACTGTTCGTACACTGATTGCTATAGAATCCGTTCACCAATGGAAACTATCTCCAATGGATGTTNATTGGTTGCTAAGGGATTTGCACAAGAATATGTTTTTGATTATGAAGAGAATCTATTCTTGTTGCAAAGATGACCACTGTTCGTACACTGATTGCTATAGAATCCGTTCACCAATGGAAACTATCTCCAATGGATGTCAGGAGTGCTTTTCAGAATGGTGATTTAGCTGAAGAGGTCTTAATGATTCCTCCACTAGTCTATATCATGCTCCTTGTGAGGTATACAAACTCAGAAAAAATTTGTATGGTCTCAAACAAGCTCCTCGAGCTTGGTTTGAGAAATTCTCTACTGTGATGTGACTTAAGTTTTCGCTCAAGTGATCATAATTTGGCCCTTTTTCTTTATTCTACTTTTGCTAGTCAGAGTATTCTTCTCTTGTAAGTTGATGATATGATGTTACGGGGAATTGTCTCAATTTTGAAGGTTCACTTATAGCAGTAATTTGGGATGAAAGAAATCGGTCTCCTTCGCTATTTTATGGGAATTGAAGTGGCTTCAACGAAGGGTTATCTTTTCTATCAGACAAAGTATGCAACTGATGTTATCTACAAAATAAATTAACAGATTCTCGGACAATTGAAACTCGTCTTGAGCGTCATGTGCATTACACTTCTACTAATGGTGTTTTTTTTGCTAATCCTACTTGTATCGAGCTCTTACTAGTAGTTTGGTCTATCTCACTGTTACGCGACGTAACATTGCTTATGTTATTTATATTGTGAGTTAATTAGTCTTTTCTCCAATTTTTTTTTTAAAAAATTGAATTTTGGACACGCAAAGCACATGCAACGGACACTCGAGGAATACGTTTGAGGGTATTTTGCAATGGCCAGAAAATAAAAAGCCCAACAGTTAAAACTTGAAAAAAAACTTATATATATATATATATATATATATATATCATTTAACGAGAGAACTTCTCTCATCAGATCATCCACACAATGCCACCAGGGCTTCTCTGTCAAACCAATAAAGGAGAGACCATTCAATTCGGCGACTTTCCACCCAGGGACCTTCCTTCACTCCAGCAAGACGCGAGATAGCTGCCATACACTACATGAGAGATTCTTTATTCCTTATTCTAGGCTTGGGCCGCTTTTCAACAACTAGCAAGTTTCTCCATCAAAGCTTATTTTTTCTTCAGTAAGCTATAATTGCTGCGTTTTTTTTTTTCAATCTCTGTGAAATCTTCTATTGACTTGGACTTGAGTGGTTGTGGCCCTTGTGGGATTGGAGCATGTCATAAAGTGACAAGCCAAGATATTGTAGAATGCACAAATTAGAGGAGGAAGCCAAAGAAAGATTGAGGAAGAATGCACCAAAGAAAGTACCATCACCTCCTAGTGTGTGTGTGTTATTTGGTGATAATTTGGCTATTATTTGATCAAGGGGGTTCTAAGTTCAAAAAAAAGAAAGGCGACTAGAAGTGGGAGTACTTTGACTATTGAAAAGGCATTCAACTTGAAGACTCGTGATCATTTAAATGCACTTATTGCTAGAAGGTTTTACTCTGGAACCTTACTATTTCACCTTGCAAGGAACCCATATTTTGTTAGTTCTTTTACATTTGCCGCATCTAATCTTCTTTGAGGTTACTTGCCACATCGGTATAATTCTCTGAGGACTAGTTCACTTTAACAAGAAAAGACTAATGTTTAGAGATTGTTACAACCCATTCAAAGCACATGGAAAGAAAAATGTGCAAGTATCGTGAGTGATGGATGGAGAGACTCACAAAAGAGGCACTTGATCAATTTTATAGCCATGCGAAAGGTGGGCCTATGTTCCGTAAATTAATGGATTGTTCGAGTGAAACTAAAGATAAGTTTTTTGTTTTCAATTTTATGAAAGAACAGATTAATAAGGTAGGTATGTGATTCAAGTGAGCACTGATAATGCTAAGAATTATTCAGGGGTAGGCCATCTAATTGAAAGATATAGGCTATAGTTTGGACACCTTGCGTGGTTTACACACTTAACCTTGCTTTGCAAAATATTTGTGAGGCAAAAAATGTTGAAAATCATCAAGTAACTTTTGATGTGTGTTCTTAGATTATGGATATTGCGGATGAGGTTGTGTTTATTAAGATTTTGTCCCCTTGAAATTGTTTTCCATTGCAAGTACACGTTTTGCTTCGATGCTTGTAATGCTTAAGAGATTTAAGTTCATAAAAGGTAGTGTTCAAACCATGATTATTAGTGAGAGGTGAAGTGATTATCGAGAAGATTATGTGGGGAAATCTAAGATTGTGAAAGAGAAGGTGTTAGATGACATTTGGTGGGATTCCATTGATTACACACTTGCATTTATAGCTCCTATGTCTGATATGCTTAAGGCTTATGATACGTACAAGCCTTGTCTTCACTTGGTATATGACATGTTGGATACCATGATAGAAAAAGTAAGGATTGCAATATATAGGCATGAAGGAAAGTGAGTTGAGGAATTATCCACGTTTTATGATGTAGTGCATAAAATCCTTGTTGATCGTTGGAATAAAAACAACAGCCCCCTCCATTGCCTAGCCCATTCATTGAATCTAAGGTGATATCAAATTCTTAGACTTATTTCCCCTCTTAATCATAAACTACTTATTGTTTCCTGCTTCTTATTTCTTACTTCTCTTAGTCAATGTACTATAGCAATTAATGGCTTCATGAGGACCGTACTCGAGGTGCCACGAACAAAGATTTGGAGGTTTCTCTAAAAGAGTGAAATGCATAAAAAAATATGTTTCTGCTCCGGAGGAACTTGCAAAGGTACATGAGGAATATAGCAATTTCTCAACAAAGTCAATTGATTTTAGGGATATTGACTCAATTCATGATCGCTACAGAATGGATCCTAAAAATTGGTGGGTCGCCCATAGGGCAAGTGCACCTTTGCTTCAAATTTTAACTTTGAAGCTACTTTTGCAACCTTCTTCTTCATTAAGTTGTGATAGAAATTGGATTCCTTATTCTTTTGTGCACTTCGTGAGAAGGAATAAAATGGCACCAATGATTAAAATTTCGTTTCGGTGTATTATTTCGGTCACTTAAGAAACGAAAACGTTTCGACATGTTTCGGAAACGTTTTAACCCATTTCGGAAACATAATGAAAAAATAAAAAATTTAAGAATTATTTTTTTTAAACATTGATCAAAATATATCAAAGTATCTTAAAATACCGTGAAATACTCCGAAATAATTGTGCAAATCCATTGAAATATTATAAAACATCTCAAAACATTATGAAATCCCTCGAAATATTAGAATTTCGATTCCATCACTGATTCGTTTCGGTCTCTTTAGAAACGGAAACATTTCGACTGTTTCANTATGAAATCCCTCGAAATATTAGAATTTCGATTCCATCACTGATTCGTTTCGGTCTCCTTAGAAACGAAAACATTTCGACTGTTTCGAAACGATATTTTGATCCATGGATGGCACCAAAACATGCCGAACACTTGGTTTTCATTTATAACAATCTCCATCTTTTAATCTCCTCCTTCTATCAAGAACTCCACAATATATGCAAGGAAAAACTAAGATGTGAGATATTACCGAAAATTCTTTAGATTCATTTGAGGTTGTAAGAGAACTTGAAATTGCACAACTTTTACTGAGGATGGTAATAGAGGAGGTAGTGGTGCCTGTGGCGGTGGTGAGGCAATTGAAGGTTAATGATCATGATTCAAATGAGACTTTTTGTATGAATGGGATGAACAATCTTTTTTATTTTTGGTTTATGTGTAAGGATATTAAGTGTTGGATATTAACTATTATAATTTTAAGAAGTTGAACTATGAATATTGGATGATGATTAAATGAAAAAATGATTTTTTTTTTATTCTTACTGTTATCTAATGANTTTAAGAAGTTGAACTATGAATATTGGATGATGATTAAATGAAAAAATGATTTTTTTGTTATTCTTACTGTTATCTAATGACTTTGGTATTTTATGATAATGTGGTAGTTTGCTTGTTTTAGTATCTATCCAAAAATGTTGGGTTTTTATTATATAGTCTTATAAAAAATATTTTTAAATATATTTATCCACGTATTCGTGTTCTATTTTTTTTAAAAATATCGAATCCGCATATCCGTGTCCGTGCTTGTGCCCGTGCCCGTGCTTCATAGATTAAACTAGAGTTGTTTTTTTAAAAGATCACCATTATCTCAATTAAGCCAAACATTAAGCAGAATCCCACACATGAACACTTGTACAAAAAACTCTAAAATGACTCATTATCGTCACTTAGCCACGCAATGAGTAGCTTTCCAAAAATAAACACAAACATAGAAATATGATAATATTGTTATAGCATAGAGAAGATTGGTCTCAACTCATACTGCAAGAGCACTTCCCAAATTTTGAACCTCATTCAATCCATGATGGTTCATNAAACATAGAAATATGATAATATTGTTATAGCATAGAGAAGATTGGTCTCAACTCATATTGCAAGAGCACTTCTCAAATTTTGAACCTCATTCAATCCATGATGGTTCAGACCTTTCGCCAAAACATCAATCGAAGTGAAACCAAGTCTCACTCACCCTCGTAACCAAAATGCTCAAGCTCCATTGTTCTCTTGGAAGTATGAAGAATAAGTCAATGCATGTTGTAGCAAGTGCAAACAAAGACATCAAAGAGTGTTTGGTTGGTGAAAAAGCTAGGTAAAATCAAAAAAAATCTTACTCAATTTGTTTCGGAAATTTCGAGGGTGATTGAGAAAATGGACATCTGGCTAAAGGAGATTAGATCTGAGAGGGACAAAAAGATGTACTACTACTACTACTAGGTGAGAGAATGAAAGCCTAAGAGAGTAAGAGATACAAAGAACAAGGTTTAAGGAGCGAAGAGGATTGTAACTACAGTGACGAGACTTGATCTTTGTTTCTACATAAATTCACGTTGAACCCGAATTTTAATATTTGAGATGAATTCAATTACATCAATTCATTAAGGATCGTGTTAGTATACATCTTAGTAGAGTGTGCTTGAATTGAAAGTCTAAAACAAAGTATTTTCTACTTTCAACGTGAGATAACCATAAACATGAATTTGTAGACTATTTGGTCCTTTCCAAAAAACTTATTTTTTAAGAAAAACATGCGAGAGACATGATGTGCACCAATAAGAAAGAAAATAAAAACATGGTGCTCAAATCATAATACAAATCACATATTTCCAAAATATTATCTTTTTTTCCTTGATAAGAAACAACAATTTTATTAATGAACTAAATGAAAAGTTACATAATTCATGCAAAATTGGACAAGACGTCCAACACCCGCCCCCCCCCCCCCCCCAAAAAAAAAAAAAAGCATCCTCAATGCAACAATACAAAGCAACCACAACCTCAAGGTACTAGTCTTAACAAAGCAAAAACACATCCAAAACACCAATCAAACCACCCACTAACTACTATAAGAAGCTATCCAACTTAATGTAATGTAAAAAAAACGAACATTTTCAGAGTCGTTTGTTATTGAAGCCCAAAAAGAAACCAAGAAATAAACCTGATCCATAGTCTTTCCATCCCTTCCACTTTATCTTCAAAAATCCTTTAAGTTTCTTTCCTTCCAAAGAAGGGCAAATAAAGTACAATGACAAAACATGAATGGNATTGAAGCCCAAAAAGAAACCAAGAAATAAACCTGATCCATAGTCTTTCCATCACTTCCACTTTATCTTCAAAAATCCTTTAAGTTTCTTTCCTTCCAAAGAAGGGCAAATAAAGTACAATGACAAAACATGAATGGGGGGCTGCCCAACAAAACCCCACCATTTCAAATAACTTATGCCAAGAATAAATGATCTATACTTTCACTATTTCCCCTACGCATGACACACCATTGTAGGCAAAAGACACATTGAAGGCCTCCTTCTTTGGAGCGTATCATAAGTATTAATCTTACCATAAGCAATGACCCACGTGCAAACTTGCACTTTCAATAGCACTTTATCCTTCCAAATGACCCATGTGCAAACTTGCACTTTCAATGGCATTGTATCCTTCCAAATCTTTCATATCGGGTAAAAGAGAGGGATTGAGGGAACATCAATTAAAGAGTCAAAGAAAGTCTTATGAGAAAATAAGCCTAATGGGTCAATGACCCACCATCTTTTATCCAACACTTCAAGATTGAAAGTGAATGAGTTATGCAAGTATAGAATCAAAACCACATACGAAAATTACCCTATCATTAAGGTTTCTATGGAACCCAAAATTACAAGAAAGCGGAGTAGAATGAGACTTGACCAATGGCGCAATGCTATGCTCATGATAACAAGAAAATCGAAATAAGGGAGAAAATAACCTTGAAAGTGCCGTATCCCTAACCCATATATCCACCCAAAATCGAACTCTTTTCCTATTACCATAATGAACTTAACCGTTTGAGAGAAACAACATAGTCCCTAAGAAATGAATTTCCAAGGATTTTGGTAGTTTCCCCTATCTACCCTATTAGTGTTCCACCCATTAATTTGTAACCCATACTGGCTCTTGATAACCGAATATCAAAATGAATTATGCTCTTCAAGGAATCTTCATAGCTGTTTTCCGACCAAAGCCACATTCCGAGCCATTAAATTTCATACTAAAAGACCCCTTTTTTCTTTTGGCCAAGACATAGTCTCCCATCTAACCAAATGATCCTTTCTACTCCCCTATTTTTCCTTCCCACAAAAACTCTCTCATCATCCCTTCAAATCTATTTACCACTATGCATGGCATCTTAAAAAAAGATATGAAATAGACATGAATGCTTGCCAATACATCCTAAACAAGAGTTAATCCTCCCCTCGGGGAGAGAGAGTTTTTCTTTCATCCATCTAACTTTCTGAATGACCAGATCCTAGAAAGACTCAAACAAAGGATTGTCACCTAAAGGAAGATCGAAGTACTTGAGAGGCTAACCTCACACTGAGCAACTCAAAGCCAATGCCAGTTTAGAAATCTTGAATTTAGATTTCCAAGTGGTTGGATCTAAGCGGCCAAGGGCTATATATGGGAGACTGTGTTTGTGCGTCTGTTTATCATAATTATTCCCCTATTTCTTTCAAAAAAAATGGGAGATTCATCATTCAGTTCCACCAGTAGGACCCCACTTCATTTGACTTTTTTTTAAATCCTCATGTTTGCTTTTCTCTTCTGTTCCATATGAGATGTGATTTAGTATTCCTTGGTATATATCCAACAAGGCATTCAGTGTTCATCTCCATAACAAAGGCCGCAAGTAATAGCGGATTTTACATCCACTTGCATCTATGTTCTATTTATGTGAAGCTAGAGCACTAGTAGGTTCAATTCAATTAATGCATATTTTCCAACCCCGCTTTGTTGCATCCAATTTCTTAAAACTCTACATGCTTGGAATTACAAAATTCTTCCAGAGAAGAGAAATTACCACAGTTTCATTGACTTTTATTTGTTAACATCTTATATGACTTTTTTTCAACCAAATTTGAATGTTTAAAGTTTAAATAAAATTTTTTATACAATTATAACAAGAGAAAAAATTGCACATATGCTTCCCCCCACCCCCAACACACACACAAAAAAACTAAATTTGGGTCCACCATTGTTCATAAAAATCTCCCACGAGAAGAACATTTTAAGAATATAGTAATCAAGGTATGGTCAACCATAAGACTATGAAGAACTACCAAAGAAATTTACTCAAAGCAACTAGCTAAATATGTTGTTGTAGAATTATAAAGACCGTGGTTATCAAAATCCTGATCTAAATCATAGGATCTTAGGATCCTAGAGGCAAATCGTTGGCCCAACCTATTTTTATTTCTTAAATACTAGTCCTATGTGATTATCAAATGCAATTCTCAGTTTATTTGGGGATTTCTACCGGTGAGAAAAGCTATAAAAATCTCTTTTTGTTACAGAAAACTCTCTTCAGTCATTTTTCTCTCTTATTAAAAAGCTAAAAACAACTGGTAGACTTATTTTCTTCTCACTCGATGAGTGATCACAATCAAGTTTGTCTTCCATTTTAACTCTCCTATACTTTTTTTGTTGGATGTCGTACAATCAAAATTGCTTATTTAACAGTTTCTCGACTTTTTTTGCTCTTCCTCTATTTCTATCTTTTTGTTAAAGTTAAGATCAAGAAACTCCACATCTCTTGTTTCTCATCACAAAATACACATGTGATTTCCTCTCCAATATCCAGACGACAGTTTCTCAAATTTTAATTATTTCCTCAGTTCTATATATTTTTCACAATGTTTCTGTATTTTACATACACATTAGCTTTATCTTATTTCTGGTATTTAAGATAACTGTAGTGTCCCATTTAATTTAAGTCCCATTTTTCAGTTTGTAGGATCTCACGATTCTTAATACAATCTTATGATCCATATTCTTTAGCCACCTTCATCAAGCCAAGATTGGATCCAAATTTTAAAAACCTTGATATAGACCTTATGAAATTCCAATATTTGTTTTAATGATTGCTTTATGAAAGAATTGAAAATCTTTTGACACTGCTCATTGATATTTCCGTTCATTTAATTCTAATATGTAATATACTCCAAACAATGCATGTGAATTCATTTTTCTTGTATTCACTCCTATCCCAAGTATCAAACAATTCCCCTAGAAGCTCACCGTCCAAGCCGCGCATGTCACAAAAAGTTCAAGGCATGGGACAGTACCACTTAATTAAAGTACTCTCATTCAACACAGACATTATAAAGTTATCAACACCATACATTCAAACAGATAATTTATACCTCCAGTGGTCCTTGATTGTACGGCTGCTATTGGAAGCATCTTTTCAGGCAGAGTCGAAAGCAGAGGTGGCATATTGAGATCAGTCTCAGTTGGAATCATCCGATATCTCGGAGCTCCCTCTCTAAAAAAAGTCAAATTCGAGATTACCACAAATAAACACCATTGTGCTAAAAAAAAGTTTAACAGAAAAACAGAAGAGAAAAGAAACCAGTGGTAAGAAATAAAAGCATACACATCTAACTTTAAAGATTCAATTGAGACACTACGGAATCAACAAATAGAAATGCACACATAGAAACAAACATACAAATTTGACTTCTAGACTTCCATCAAAAACCAAGCAACCACAAAGAGACACATCCACTCGCGCAGAATAAATAGAAACGCGCACACGCACAACCCACTACCACACCACCTAACCATTCGAACCCAACCAAACAACAAGAAATTGAGAAATAGAAATGCCCGCACACACACCAAACCTAACTTCCAGAAGTCTATCAAAACACAAAGCAGTCAAAAAATTGAAAACGTACCACATACACATTTACTCAAACAAACAATAAGCAATTAAGAAACAGGAATGAGCAGATACAAATAAAAGGACACGTGTGTGTTTCTTTGAGTGTGCATACATCTAAATACAGGTGTAAACAATATATGTATGTGTAGAAAGGGAAAATTGTTTTACGTTTGGGTGGACGGAATAAGAGCGGAATTGAAATCGTGGAAAGCTTTATCAGTGGGGACAGGAATGGAGCCACAGAGGAAACCGACTGGCTTTGGTCTGACGATTTCCAATTTCCCAATACACTGGAGCTCTCGCGAGCCACTGGAACTTGAAGACAGTTTCTCCATAACCGATTCTGTCTCACCTAGGGTTTGATTCTCGTTTGGTTTATTTGTCGCTGTTTACAGTTGAGATCTTGCTGTGTTTTTTCTCGCTATTTCCCTTCGAAATTCAAAGCGAGGAAATAAAAGGGTCGCCAACAAGCTGACCGGCCCACTAATGTTCATTCGGGTCCGAGCCTACTTTGGACCAAAAGCAGCAGTCCTTCCTTTTGGCCCAGTTCTAATAGGTCATAAATGGGCCTTGAATGGTTTTGAATTCTGCATTTTAGTAATAAAAAATATTATTAAGACCTAATCTCGAGACCTGATTTAATATAGTCATTAGATTAGAAGTGAGTTTCATTTAACATTAGAACTCACAACTAATTCATTGACTACATTGAATTAAGTCCCATAGCATTGCTTGTAAGTAATTACTTAAATTAATAGCTACAAATGTAAAATTGTAAAATCAATAGCCTTTTTAGATATACAAACCCTACTTCATTTGAAATTTACAATAATATTTTTATCGAGTGAAATAAACAAATACAATAGACATACAAATGTTTATCTTGTCCAAATGAGCAATCGATTGTCTAGATTTGTGTTATGAGAAGGATTGTTGTTACTTTACACCAATGTGGAACTAATCTTATTATAATTGAAATTCTAGTCTTTTTCTTTTTGATCTGCCGATACTAAAAGGGTGGGAGACGATGAACCTGCGACCTTAAAGTCCAACAATGAGAGTAGTGACTATTAGATTAATCATTAACCGCGATTGAAATTCTAGTCCAAAAGTCCTCCTTAATAATCAATCCAACTCTTCAACTCTAATTCTTGGAAAGACTTTGTAACATATATGAAGGAGCATAAAACAATCACACATGATTGAAACAATTAATGAGACCACGTGTCATAAAGCACATGACAAAAAAAGTGCAAGAGGAACGTGGGAAACTACTATCTCCATTACAACCAATTGAATAAATGGTTGCAATGCTCGAACAAATCGAATGATAAGCAAGATGGAGCAGATCTTACAATCAGCCCTCCAAATTGAATCATTCAGTAAATAAGATAGTTAGGCTATAATAAGAACTAGAGATAAGGCTGAAATAATAAGAACGTTGTTTAAATCCTAGGTGAGCATTATAAGCGTACCCTAACTAATGAGCAAATAACAAAAGATCTAGGAGAAATTCCAACATCAATCAAAAGTAATCTAGCAAATAATTAAATGTGCCACCTAATAATAGACGACAGCTGAAATCTTGGCATAATAGCTGCCATGCAACACTATAAACATTGGATGATGCTTGAGTCTAAGGTACGCATTTCTAATCCAATAAACCTTTTTCATTTTTTTTAGGATCCTTACTAACTTAAGCATCAGAGTGCCTCCAATTGGCTCACCCCTGGTCTCTACAATTTGTTCATTTTGTAGGAGGAATAGTGCAACCCTTGTTCACTTTTTTTTCCAATTAAATCATTGGGAGGTAAGAGATTTTTCGCTTTTACAATTGGCATCATCTGTGGAAAAATTGTGAATGAAAGAGCCATGTCAAATCTATGAAGTATAATCGGATCACCACACAACAATCAGGATGCTAATGAGTATGACGAAGATCCAGACAACATGTCATCAGGGAGATACTACCCTTAAGATGAAGCCCAGAAAACCAATGAATACCCCACGTGCTGATGGGATTATCTCAACGTTTATGAAACTAGTCTAATCTCTCCAAGACCGATTGGATGCCCAATACGATATTCTGAAAAATTCCCAAGAACCAAAAAACTAAGGTAGGAAAATGAGATGCTAAAGACAAACTTAAGAAACTTTAGGGATTGGGAAGCCTCTGAAACGTTAGATTGCCACGCTAGGGTAAAACATGAACCCATCTGTGCTGAACCGAGTCTTAGCACAAAAAGGAATAGAGGAAGGCAAAGAAAGGACACCGACACAAAAAGTAGAAGGAAGAAATTCACTCAAGTTAAGGAACAAGAGGACGTTTCGAAACGTTTCATAACAAAAGAGTTTGATAGCAAGCTAAAGAGGTCTGAACAAAAATCTACTAAAGAGCTAGCTAGAAGAGCAACGGGTGAATATATTAGGAGAATCGAAGTGTCCATCTTTAGCAGGTGAATAGAAAAGGAAAGAGTATCAAATAAATTCACGATCCCGAACTTTAAGCCCTACGATGGGAGGACCGACCCAACCGCTAACATTCATCATTATAAAAAGTTGGATGGCAATCCATAGGAAAAACGAAGCTCTATTGTGTATAATGTTTCCAAACAACTTGGGGGGATCGACAGCCTCCCTCAGAATTATTTTGATATTTGGATACAACTTGCTAAGTTATTACAGCTCGGTTCATAACAAGCAGTCATCAACCCAAGAACATTGGTGCTCTTCTTTCAATGAATTAGAAGCACGAAAATGAGGAGCTAAATGCGACCTTAAGAAAATCCAGGGATCTCGAAGCCTCCAAAGCGTCATATCGTTGTGCCTAGTGTTAGAAAATAAAACATAAAGTCACAGATTCATAAATTAAATAAACATGCAAATATAGCAAATACACTCAATGGAACTTAGATCAAAAATAAGTTTAGAATAGCTTGGATTGAGGCGCGAGATGAACGTTGTCCTAAGAAGAGACACGTCCCCTCCGCACAGATTTTTTCGACGTTCTTTTCACAAAATACAACAATCCGAGAGAAGTTACGGTGTTAAACCTCTCTATAACGAACTGATCTCACCCAAGGTACCCACAAAACACACTTAAACTAATAAAGAATGAAGGAGAATATGTATATGAAAGATGTATTTCTATATCAAAGGAAGATAGATCACATGTCTATTTATATATTAATGGATAGCCCTTATCCTTTAAGGCTATATAAATATATATGAAATGCTTGGCTTCAACGGCTAGTCTTTATGTAGTAACTCCAATGTAAGTAACTCCAATGTATATATATATATATTAATGATATATGTAGTTATTACATATAACTCCCCCTAAAGAATTTCAAAAATTAAAATCATTTAAAATCATAATCATAAAATAAATGTGGGCTGAAATTATTAATATGAATAAATGATAATAAAATTTAATTTTAAATCATATATACTAACAATCCCCCACAGGATTTAAAATTAAATAAAAATAAATTGGGAAACAATACCATGCAGTAGGTGATTGGTGTCTTCTAGACTTGAACCTTCACTTAGCGTTAACGAGCTTCCATCTGAAGAACCATAGTGAACAAATCTTGAACTAGGCTCTTTAATTCAAGTTTCTACTCGTCACACACATGATATGGGTATTAGATCAAGTTCTAATTAGTTTTGCGCTCTTACGGCCATGCGCGAGTATTTTGATTTTCATGAGTGTTTCATTTGGGATTAGCCTACATCCCATAGTAGCGGCCTCACTACAAACACACATATAGGCGAACCCTCCAAGGATATTCTGTGACCAACACCCTGCAGAATCCTGCCTTGGACTCATTAAGAGATTTACTCCTCCTTATCACCATCACAGTTTAGAGCACTATCACCTTAGAAATGGGACTAGAAATTTCCCTTGTTACAATTCAGTGCTCAACATAGTCATGTTACAGTTTTGTTCTTACCTATTAAACCTCCTTCAAGGGATCTCCAATCACAGAGTTAGGTGTCCACTGCAATGACTAACATATAGGCTTTAATCTCATTTCCCTCGATGAACTTTGAACTAGCCTCTTTGCTAGCCCTTTGGTAAGATGGTCCGCCAAATTATTTTCGGACCTCAAAAAGTCAAGTGCAATTACTCCTTGACTAAGCAACTGTTTGATAGAATTATGATGGATCCGTATATGCCTCCTTTTTTCATTGTAATTGGAATTCTTCGCCTTAGCAATTGTAGCTTGATTGTCACAATGTAGAGAAATTGCTGGAATAGGCTTACTACCGAGAGTTATATTTGATAATAAACACTTTAGCCATTCAGCTTCTGTTGCAGCTGAATCTAATGAAATAAATTATGCTTCCATTGTTGACCGAGATATAATAGTCTGCTTTGTTGACTTCCAAGCCACAGCTCCACCACCAAGCATAAAAACATAGCCACTAGTAGCTTTCGTTTCATCTGAATCTGAGATCCAGTTAGCATCACTGAATCCTTCCAATACTGTTGGGTACCCTGGAAAATGAAGACCATAATTTAAGGTACCTTTTAAATATCGAAATACTCTTTCAATAGCTTTCCAATGTTCTTGATTGGGATTAGAAGTATATCTACTTAGTCTATTGACGGCATAAGCAATATCAAGCCTAGTGCAATTGGTTAAATACATTAATGATCCAATAACCTATGAATATTTTTGTTGTGATACACTTTTACCTAAATTTTTCTTTAGGTGTACATGTGGATCATATGGTGTGTTCACTGGTTTATACTCAAAATAATTAAAATTTTTCAACAATTTTTCAACATAATGAGATTAGGTTAAAATAATGTTATCTTTATTTCTTATTAATTTTTTTCCCAATATAACATCAGCAAGGCCCAAGTCCTTCATATCAAAATTATTTGAAAGCATATTTTTAGTTTCACAAATCACATATTCATTGGTTCCACAAATCAGAATGTCATCCACATAGAGACAAAGTATTACACACCCATTCTCAGTTTTTTANTGTTTTTCTTCAATTCTAAGTGAAATTAGCAACTCATCAAAAGAGAATCTTTGAGGCTTTTGTTTAAGCATTCTACCAAACTCAGACCAAGAAGGAGGTAATTTTTTAATTAACCCAGCAACAAGAAAATTTTCTTGAAAATTCATGCCCTTCATCTTTAATTCATGGANATAAAGACATTTATCCGAATCATTTATAACAAAACCATTTGAGAGTATTACTTTATCAAATTTTTTGATGTCATTGTTTAGGAGCCTGTTTTAAACCGTAAATAGATTTGACCAACTTACACACTTTATTTTCTTGACTTGGTACTACAAATCCTTCGGATTGCTCCATATAAATCTCCTCGTCTAGATCACCATTCAAAAATGTAGTTTTAATGTTCATTTGATGAATTTCTAAGTTATATNTGCAAAAAATATCATAGATAGGTTCAACAAGTGCACTAAGAATTCTGCCATGACACAGGTAGTCTTTTTCTATATCAGAAGCAGATTTTGTTGACTTTTCAGGGACTAAACTTGTACTAGTTCCATCAACAGTAGTTGTTTAATTAGTCTGGACTTGGATATGTCTATTTTCCTCAANGGGTTGCTCCATATAAATCTCCTCGTCTAGATCACCATTCAAAAATGTAGTTTTAATGTTCATTTGATGAATTTCTAAGTTATATATTGAAGCAATGGCTATTAAAACTCTTATGGTTGTTATTCTTGTTACAGGAGAATAGGTATCAAAAAAGTCGATTCCTTCTTTTTGATTAAACCCTTTAGCAACCAATCTTGCTTTGAATTTTTCTATAGATCCTTCCNAAGTTGAGTAGGTTTTTCAAGCACATAAATTAAACCCAAAATAGTCAACCAAAATTTTATTTGTCNTCTTATGGTTGTTATTCTTGTTACAGGAGAATAGGTATCAAAAAAGTCAATTCCTTCTTTTTGATTAAACCCTTTAGCAACCAATCTTGCTTTGAATTTTTCTATAGATCCTTCTNAAGTTGAGTAGGTTTTTCAAGCACATAAATTAAACCCAAAATAGTCAACCAAAATTTCATTTGTCGTTGCCATCTTCTAAAGTGTTGATNTTCCTTCTTTTTGATTAAACCCTTTAGCAACCAATCTTGCTTTGAATTTTTCTATAGATCCTTCTGTTCTCAACTTTTTCCTAAATTTCCATTTACAACCTATCAGTCTACTACCATGAGGTAAATCTGTTAANGAAATGGATAAACAAATAGAAAAAACAAGTTTTCCTACGTTATTCTAAACTTAATTTTATCTCTTCTTAGATTGTTAGAAAATAAAACATAAAATCACAGATTCATAAATTAAATAAACATACAAATAAACTCAATGGAACTTAGATCAAAAATAAGTTTAGAATAGCTTGGATTGAGGCGTGAGATGAACGTTGTTCTAAGAAGAGATACGTCTCCTCTGCACAAAGTTTTTCGACGTTCTTTTTTCAATATACAACAATCCGAGATAAGCTACAGTGTAGGCGTGAACCTCTCTATAACGAACTGATCTCACCCAAGTTGCCCACAAAACACACTTAAACTAGTAAAGAATGAAGGAGAATATGTATATGAAAGATGTTTTTCTATATCAAAGGAAGATAGATCACATGTCTATTTATATATTAATGGATAGCCCTTATCCTTTAAGGCTATATAAATATATATGAAATGTTTGGCTTCAACGACTAGTCTTCATATAGTAACTCCAACATAAGTAACTCCAATGTATATATATATATATTAATGATATATGTAGTTATTACATATAACTCCTCCTAAAGAATTTCAACAATCAAAAATTAAAATCATAATCATAAAATAAATGTGGGCTGAAACTATTAATATGAATAAATGATAATAAAATTTAATTTTAAATCATATATACTAACACCTAGGTGTTGGGAAATCTATTTGTGTGAAGATAAAATACTTGGAATGAAATTTTCACAAAACGAGGGTTATAAAGAATGTGTGTGTGTGTGTGTGTGAGAGAGAGAGAGAGAGAGAGAGAGAGTTAATAGGTAAGTTTGAGTTTTGGGAGCAGAAATAATATTGTTATATCCTTGTAATTGTTTCGCCTAGTTATTATGTTGTGTATTTGAGTTTGTCTTATTGATCTAAACTGATTATAATATTAGATGTGGTTTTTTTACAGCATAGTGTGGCAATGCCTATATTGTATGAATATCGGACTGAGCATAGTGTGATTTTTTTGAAGAACACCCAAGAGTTATTAGCGGATTAATTACCTATTCCATTTTAACCTAATCAAAGTCTAAAGTTATATCAAGGAGGCAAACGCCTCTTCTTGGACTTTACTATGGGGTCTGTCACGAATGCTTGTATACATAGTGTTGTTTCTGGTGTTCCAAAATTGTAAAATCACTTATTGAAATTTCTTATTTGAAATTTGTAATGTATAACAAAACAGTAAGAAAAGAGTTACACAGAACCAATCTTACACGAAAGAGTTACAGAAGTCTTACGAAACAGTAACAGCAAACAGTTACACGTAATTGTTTGGTAAATCAAAATAAATACTAACTCGGTTGCAGAACATGAACTGTTATTGAAGTTGATGTAGATTAAGGCTAGTGTTTGACATTATATCCTCAAGACAGATTTTCGTCCCCACACACGATGCTTATGGAATATCGAGCGTCTGCCTCCCAAGATACAATGATCTTTACACGAGCAAATGTAACACTCCAATCTACTCGTTCAGCGAACCAAACTTGAGTTATATACTCTCCAAATGCAGACTTCTTAGTGCCAATAATGTTATGCACTAATGTCTGACTTAACTCTGTATATAACTGATACTAATAATTGTAATGAATACAGAATGGTAATGAGTCTGGGTATTTATAGATACTTTGGTGACTTTTCGGATAGACACCAAACTAAAAGACACAACCCAGAATCAGTAGACACCACTTGTGTAACTGTTCTGTATGAACAGACACAACTTAATTCGGACTGGAGTGAAGCAACACATCTGAATTTTNCAACTTAATTCGGACTGGAGTGAAGCAACACATATGAATTTCGGGTTAAGAAATTCCCGCTCATTAATTAAAAGAATTTTTTCTAAAAAGATAGGGCACACCCACACCCAACTGGGTCGTGGTGAGGCGGGCGGCGCGCGCGTGTGATTAAACCAAAGACATGTAGGTGTTCGCTTCGCTCATAAAACTGTGGTACCCCTTAGGACCCAATCTCATACAACAAACTTGACCTATATATGCCTATGTAGAATTTCTTAATCAACCAATGTGGGATTGGTGTCAAATCTCACATTGCACAACCTTTATTTCACAATTCAAGAGGGTCACTTTGGAGCTTATTTTTTCATTCATTTCTTACTTAATTTGAGCAAGTAAATATATTACATTATTCTCTTCAAGGAGTAGAATATGAACCCACGAAATAGTACTCGAAACAACGAACGGGTCCCACTTTAATTTAAATTCAAAATTGATCAAAAACTCAATTTTTACACTTAAAAAACTATTTTGGTCCAACACACAGTCTATTAATGATTCCCTCTAATGGGATATTCAGGGGAGTGTACCTCCTCCTTTACATTGTTCCAGAGGATCAATAAACCCAAATGAGGTAGTCCAATTGTGGACCAAATGATAAGATAGAACTTTGGTTTAACCGATGTTGATTGTTAGATTGTGTGCATCAAAAGATTATGTTGCAATCACAAGTCCAAAAGCATGTAATAAAAACAATTATCCGTTTACTAATAACGAAAGGTTGAATAACATTAATAAATGTGGGTTCATTTGCCAAGTGCAAGTAAATCTTGAAGGACTTGCTCTCGTACAATTGTATACACTTAGTTTCACAAAGTACTATTATTTTTCCCATATTTTGACCACAGTTTATGCCAATCCAATGGCCCTATTTTGCAATGTCAAAAAAGGGTTTAAGCTCTAATACGCTTCAAGGCAAAGTAAGCCAGCAATCTGTAACCAACAAACATGAAAACCAAGATGCAGACACTCATTGCAGGGTGGATTTGCCCTGCAACATCTTCTTCAATGAACTTGCAACTTGCACTATTGTTTCCCTGGTGGAAACAACCCAGAAAATATGAAATTCTCTCTCCTCCTCCATATTGGATATTAATCAGAAGCCTATAGCTGTAAAATGTGGAGGAAATGTACTTGATCCAAGCCATGTAATAGGGCATTTTATGCACATAATACCCACCTGTCAAAACAAATGCTAGCATTATGACAGTGACCACCATTGAAGCCTGTTTGGCATCCATGATCAGAGCTCCAAGAAAAAGGCCTAGCCCTTGAGACACGAGCACGTAACCGAGCACAATGGAGAGTGTCAAAAGAAAGGCCCCCAATTCAGGTTTTAGCCCCGTCATCCAATAGGCTATGGTGAGGAAAAACGTCGGGAGAATGAGCTCCATTGGTAGATCGCCCACAATTCGTGCCATAAAATAGGACGAGAGAGTGTACATACCCGAAGCCCTTTCTTTCATGAAGATTGCTCTCTCTTGAGGGAAGGCAAATGAAGAATTAAAAGATGGGAACACTCCCCAGAAGATGGAAATGAAGAAGAGTAGCCCGAGTCGATCCTGAACATCACGAAAATTCGAGCACCACCACATGGAACCGGCTAATAATGAGGCTGCAATCACTTGGAAGACCTTGAGAGAGTTGAAGGTTTCATGCCTTCTCTCTTTGAGGCTTCTTTGGAGGAGAATGCTGAACTGATTAAACCAAGTGGAGAAGCCATTGATGAACCTGATTCTGTGCTTTTTGTGGCTTTCAATTATCATAATTTCTTTTGGTATAGTACTTGAGGTGTCCATGCAGGCAACTTTCACCTTTGGGGCTAGCAAGTTGTCGTAGGATGATACAAGGGATTGTTTCACATTGGGTCTTTCTCTCTCACTTGCACCATCAAGGTGGCTCACACCTACATGATTTATTAACCAAGTTAGCTACCATTCACAAATAATAGAATGTATCATAGATTTTTGTAATGACCGACTTCCAATGATATAGTTGAGTACTAGTGCCCCAACTACATGGTGGAAAATTTATGAAGTATAGGTACGATGTTAGACATTACAAATGCTTAACTCTTTCCTTTTTTGAGTTTTGTAATCAAGGAAGATCCTTGCTTATCTATGATGAAGTGAGATGAAAAATAGTTTCTAGAACTCTCTATAGGCGGGGGATGTAGTTCTTGCCCGTGCCCTGCTCCAAGTAGGTGTATTTCATTCTACTGACCCAACCATATCTAATTTGGTACTTTTTTCAATTAAGGCAAACAAGTAGAGACAATGTTAGGGAGCAGGGGATCATATGCCATTTAAAAGTTCCACCATTTCTTGATACATTGCACCATCTATGATCTCATTTGAGTACTAAAATAACTATGCAAAGGGATAACAATTGCTCATCTGCTAGAATCTTTCTCTCTATAATAAGGGTAAAATTGTCTAATATCTATGTTCCTAAAGGGGGAACCCTTATCTACTAAGGATTCGTTTGTTAGCGGGAGAATAGTAGAAAATGTAAGAAAGAGAAATTTTTTAAAATTTTCATGTGTTTGGTTAGTATGAAAAGAAAAATGATAGAAAAAATAATTTTCTTTCATATTTGAATTTTCTCACAAATTAACTACTTTTTTTTCTTGTAAAAAACACAAGCAAATGTAAAGTTGTGATCTACAACAAACTTCTTATTTTACCCTCATTTTTCTTAAAGGGTTCGTTTGTTTAGCAGGAGAATGATAGAAAATGCAAGAAAGAGAAATTTTTTAAAATTTTCATGTGTTTGGTTAGCATGAAAAGGAAAATGATGAAAAAAATAATTTTATTTCATACTTAAATTTTCCCACAAATAACTAACTTTTTTTTCTTGTAAAAAACACAAGAAAATGCAAAAAAAAATTATGATCTATAACAAACTTCCTATTTTACCCATATTTTTCTTAAAATATTTTATTGGTTATTAATTTTAAAAAATTTTGGTATGAATTTGATTAAGCATATAATTTGGCCCAAAGACCTTTGTATTGGTGATTATCTTAAAATTAAGTTTCGAGCATTTTTTTTAAAAAAATTTTAACTTTCAATTATAATTGCATATATTTTTTTCTTTTTTAGATTGATTTAATATAATTAAGGATAATTTAGACAATTATAAAAAATTTCTTATAACTTTTCTTTTTTTCAAACAATATAATGGAATTTTTTTAAAACTTTCCGGTAAATTTTTCATTCTAACCAAACACATGTATGGAAATATATTTTCTATCATTTTCTTTTCTTTCACTTTACTTTCTATCATTTTCACTTTTCATTATTTTTTTCTTCCTAACCAAACGGACCCAAAATATTTTATTGGTTATTAATTTTAAAAAATTTTGGTATGAATTTGATTAATCATATAATTNAGAGTTAATAGGTAAGTTTGAGTTTTGGGAGCAGAAATAATATTGTTATATCCTTGTAATTGTTTCGCCTAGTTATTATGTTGTGTATTTGAGTTTGTCTTATTGTTCTAAACTGATTATAATATTAGATGTGGTTTTTTTACAGCATAGTGTGGCAATGCCTATATTGTATGAATATCGGACTGAGCATAGTGTGATTTTTTTGAAGAACACCCAAGAGTTATTAGCGGATTAATTACCTATTCCATTTTAACCTAATCAAAGTCTAAAGTTATATCAAGGAGGCAAACGCCTCTTCTTGGACTTTACTATGGGGTCTGTCACGAATGCTTGTATACATAGTGTTGTTTCTGGTGTTCCAAAATTGTAAAATCACTTATTGAAATTTCTTATTTGAAATTTGTAATGTATAACAAAACAGTAAGAAAATAGTTACACAGAACCAATCTTACACGAAAGAGTTACAGCAGTCTTACGAAACAGTAACAGCAAACAGTTACACGTAATTGTTTGGTAAATCAAAATAAATACTAACTCGGTTGCAGAACATGAACTGTTATTGAAGTTGATGTAGATTAAGGCTAGTGTTTGACATTATATCCTCAAGACAGATTTTCGTCCCCACACACGATGCTTATGGAATATCGAGCGTCTGCCTCCCAAGATACAATGATCTTTACACGAGCAAATGTAACACTCCAATCTACTCGTTCAGCGAACCAAACTTGAGTTATATACTCTCCAAATGCAGACTTCTTAGTGCCAATAATGTTATGCACTAATGTCTGACTTAACTCTGTATATAACTGATACTAATAATTGTAATGAATACAGAATGGTAATGAGTCTGGGTATTTATAGATACTTTGGTGACTTTTCGGATAGACACCAAACTAAAAGACACAACCCAGAATCAGTAGACACCACTTGTGTAACTGTTCTGTATGAACAGACACAACTTAATTCGGACTGGAGTGAAGCAACACATCTGAATTTTGGGTTAAGAAATTCCCGCTCATTAATTAAAAGAATTTTTTCTAAAAAGATAGGGCACACCCACACCCAACTGGGTCGTGGTGAGGCGGGCGGCGCGCGCGTGTGATTAAACCAAAGACATGTAGGTGTTCGCTTCGCTCATAAAACTGTGGTACCCCTTAGGACCCAATCTCATACAACAAACTTGACCTATATATGCCTATGTAGAATTTCTTAATCAACCAATGTGGGATTGGTGTCAAATCTCACATTGCACAACCTTTATTTCACAATTCAAGAGGGTCACTTTGGAGCTTATTTTTTCATTCATTTCTTACTTAATTTGAGCAAGTAAATATATTACATTATTCTCTTCAAGGAGTAGAATATGAACCCACGAAATAGTACTCGAAACAACGAACGGGTCCCACTTTAATTTAAATTCAAAATTGATCAAAAACTCAATTTTTACACTTAAAAAACTATTTTGGTCCAACACACAGTCTATTAATGATTCCCTCTAATGGGATATTCAGGGGAGTGTACCTCCTCCTTTACATTGTTCCAGAGGATCAATAAACCCAAATGAGGTAGTCCAATTGTGGACCAAATGATAAGATAGAACTTTGGTTTAACCGATGTTGATTGTTAGATTGTGTGCATCAAAAGATTATGTTGCAATCACAAGTCCAAAAGCATGTAATAAAAACAATTATCCGTTTACTAATAACGAAAGGTTGAATAACATTAATAAATGTGGGTTCATTTGCCAAGTGCAAGTAAATCTTGAAGGACTTGCTCTCGTACAATTTTATACACTTAGTTTCACAAAGTACTATTATTTTTCCCATATCTTGACCATAGTTTATGCCAATCCAATGGCCCTATTTTGCAATGTCAAAAAAGGGTTTAAGCTCTAATACGCTTCAGGGCAAAGTAAGCCAGCAATCTGTAACCAACAAACATTAAAACCAAGATGCAGACACTCATTGTAGGGTGGATTTGCCCTGCAACATCTTCTTCAATGAACTTGCAACTTGCACTATTGNAAACATGAAAACCAAGATGCAGACACTCATTGCAGGGTGGATTTGCCCTGCAACATCTTCTTCAATGAACTTGCAACTTGCACTATTGTTTCCCTGGTGGAAACAACCCAGAAAATATGAAATTCTCTCTCCTCCTCCATATTGGATATTAATCAGAAGCCTATAGCTGTAAAATGTGGAGGAAATGTACTTGATCCAAGCCATGTAATAGGGCATTTTATGCACATAATACCCACCTGTCAAAACAAATGCTAGCATTATGACAGTGACCACCATTGAAGCCTGTTTGGCATCCATGATCAGAGCTCCAAGAAAAAGGCCTAGCCCTTGAGACACGAGCACGTAACCGAGCACAATGGAGAGTGTCAAAAGAAAGGCCCCCAATTCAGGTTTTAGCCCCGTCATCCAATAGGCTATGGTGAGGAAAAACGTCGGGAGAATGAGCTCCATTGGTAGATCGCCCACAATTCGTGCCATAAAATAGGACGAGAGAGTGTACATACCCGAAGCCCTTTCTTTCATGAAGATTGCTCTCTCTTGAGGGAAGGCAAATGAAGAATTAAAAGATGGGAACACTCCCCAGAAGATGGAAATGAAGAAGAGTAGCCCGAGTCGATCCTGAACATCACGAAAATTCGAGCACCACCACATGGAACCGGCTAATAATGAGGCTGCAATCACTTGGAAGACCTTGAGAGAGTTGAAGGTTTCATGCCTTCTCTCTTTGAGGCTTCTTTGGAGGAGAATGCTGAACTGATTAAACCAAGTGGAGAAGCCATTGATGAACCTGATTCTGTGCTTTTTGTGGCTTTCAATTATCATAATTTCTTTTGGTATAGTACTTGAGGTGTCCATGCAGGCAACTTTCACCTTTGGGGCTAGCAAGTTGTCGTAGGATGATACAAGGGATTGTTTCACATTGGGTCTTTCTCTCTCACTTGCACCATCAAGGTGGCTCACACCTACATGATTTATTAACCAAGTTAGCTACCATTCACAAATAATAGAATGTATCATAGATTTTTGTAATGACCGACTTCCAATGATATAGTTGAGTACTAGTGCCCCAACTACATGGTGGAAAATTTATGAAGTATAGGTACGATGTTAGACATTACAAATGCTTAACTCTTTCCTTTTTTGAGTTTTGTAATCAAGGAAGATCCTTGCTTATCTATGATGAAGTGAGATGAAAAATAGTTTCTAGAACTCTCTATAGGCGGGGGATGTAGTTCTTGCCCGTGCCCTGCTCCAAGTAGGTGTATTTCATTCTACTGACCCAACCATATCTAATTTGGTACTTTTTTCAATTAAGGCAAACAAGTAGAGACAATGTTAGGGNTGCCCTGCTCCAAGTAGGTGTATTTCATTCTACTGACCCAACCATATCTAATTTGGTACTTTTTTCAATTAAGGCAAACAAGTAGAGACAATGTTAGGGAGCAGGGGATCATATGCCATTTAAAAGTTCCACCATTTCTTGATACATTGCACCAGCTATGATCTCATTTGAGTACTAGAATAATNGATGTAGTTCTTGCCCGTGCCCTGCTCCAAGTAGGTGTATTTCATTCTACTGACCCAACCATATCTAATTTGGTACTTTTTTCAATTAAGGCAAACAAGTAGAGACAATGTTAGGGAGCAGGGGATCATATGCCATTTAAAAGTTCCACCATTTCTTGATACATTGCACCATCTATGATCTCATTTGAGTACTAAAATAACTATGCAAAGGGATAACAATTGCTCATCTGCTAGAATCTTTCTCTCTATAATAAGGGTAAAATTGTCTAATATCTATGTTCCTAAAGGGGGAACCCTTATCTACTAAGGATTCGTTTGTTAGCGGGAGAATAGTAGAAAATGTACGAAAAAGAAATTTTTTAAAATTTTCATGTGTTTGGTTAGTATGAAAAGAAAAATGATAGAAAAAAAAAANATGCAAAGGGATAACAATTGCTCATCTGCTAGAATCTTTCTCTCTATAATAAGGGTAAAATTGTCTAATATCTATGTTCCTAAAGGGGGAACCCTTATCTACTAAGGATTCGTTTGTTAGCGGGAGAATAGTAGAAAATGTAAGAAAGAGAAATTTTTTAAAATTTTCATGTGTTTGGTTAGTATGAAAAGAAAAATGATAGAAAAAATAATTTTCTTTCATATTTGAATTTTCTCACAAATTAACTACTTTTTTTTCTTGTAAAAAACACAAGCAAATGTAAAGTTGTGATCTACAACAAACTTCTTATTTTACCCTCATTTTTCTTAAAGGGTTCGTTTGTTTAGCAGGAGAATGATAGAAAATGCAAGAAAGAAAAATTTTTAAAAATTTTCATGTGTTTGGTTAGCATGAAAAGGAAAATGATGAAAAAAATAATTTTATTTCATACTTAAATTTTCCCACAAATAACTAACTTTTTTTTCTTGTAAAAAACACAAGAAAATGCAAAAAAAAATTATGATCTANTGTGTTTGGTTAGCATGAAAAGGAAAATGATGAAAAAAATAATTTTATTTCATACTTGAATTTTCTCACAAATAACTAACTTTTTTTCTTGTAAAAAACACAAGAAAATGCAAAAAAAAATTATGATCTGTAACAAACTTCCTATTTTACCCATATTTTTCTTAAAATATTTTATTGGTTATTAATTTTAAAAAATTTTGGTATGAATTTGATTAAGCATATAATTTGGCCCAAAGACCTTTGTATTGGTGATTATCTTAAAATTAAGTTTCGAGCATTTTTTTTAAAAAAATTTTAACTTTCAATTATAATTGCATATATTTTTTTCTTTTTTAGATTGATTTAATATAATTAAGGATAATTTAGACAATTATAAAAAATTTCTTATAACTTTTCTTTTTTTCAAACAATATAATGGAATTTTTTTAAAACTTTCCGGTAAATTTTTCATTCTAACCAAACACATGTATGGAAATATATTTTCTATCATTTTCTTTTCTTTCACTTTACTTTCTATCATTTTCACTTTTCATTATTTTTTTCTTCCTAACCAAACGGACCCAAAATATTTTATTGGTTATTAATTTTAAAAAATTTTGGTATGAATTTGATTAAGCATATAATTTGGCCCAAAGACCTTTGTATTGGTGATTATCTTAAAATTAAGTTTCGAACATTTTTTTAAAAAAAAATTTAACTTTCAATTATAATTGCATATATTTTTTTCTTTTTTAGATTGATTTAATATAATTAAGGATAATTTAGACAATTATAAAAAATTTCTTATAACTTTTCTTTTTTTCAAACAATATAATGGAATTTTTTTAAAACTTTCCGGTAAATTTTTCATTCTAACCAAACACATGTATGGAAATATATTTTCTATCATTTTCTTTTCTTTCACTTTACTTTCTATCATTTTCACTTTTCATTATTTTTTTCTTCCTAACCAAACGGACCCAAAATATTTTATTGGTTATTAATTTTAAAAAATTTTGGTATGAATTTGATTAAGCATATAATTTGGCCCAAAGACCTTTGTATTGGTGATTATCTTAAAATTAAGTTTCGAGCATTTTTTTTAAAAAAATTTTAACTTTCAATTATAATTGCATATATTTTTTTCTTTTTTAGATTGATTTAATATAATTAAGGATAATTTAGACAATTATAAAAAATTTCTTATAACTTTTCTTTTTTTCAAACAATATAATGGAATTTTTTTAAAACTTTCCGGTAAATTTTTCATTCTAACCAAACACATGTATGGAAATATATTTTCTATCATTTTCTTTTCTTTCACTTTACTTTCTATCATTTTCACTTTTCATTATTTTTTTCTTCCTAACCAAACGGACCCAAAATATTTTATTGGTTATTAATTTTAAAAAATTTTGGTATGAATTTGATTAATCATATAATTTGACCCAAAGACTTTTATTTTGCTGATTGTCTTAGAATTAGGTTTCTAGTCACTTTTTAAAAAAAAATTAACTTTCAATTATAATTGCATATTTTTTTTATTTTTTAGACCGATTTAATATAATTAAGTGTAATTTAGACAATTGTAAAAAGTTTCTTATACGTTTACTTTCTTTCAAATAATAAAATGAAATTTTTTTAAAACTTTCCCATAAATTTTTATTCTAACAAAATACATGCATGAAATATATTTTCTATTATTTTATTTTCTTTCACTTTATTTTATATCATTTTCACTTTTTATCATNATTGTAAAAAGTTTCTTATACGTTTACTTTCTTTCAAATAATAAAATGAAATTTTTTAAAACTTTCCCATAAATTTTTATTCTAACCAAATACATGCATGAAATATATTTTCTATTATTTTATTTTCTTTCACTTTATTTTATATCATTTTCACTTTTTATCATTTTTTTCTTACTAATCAAACGAACCCTAAAATACGGCGTTTTAATTATATGGGAGAATAAAGATGTCATAATTGCATTATAAAAATGATAATATCTAATTTATTATTTTAATAACATGATAAATGGAGAACTAGTGGATTGCACTTGCAAGTAATAAGTAGCACGGAAGAGGTAATTAGTTAAAGCTATCCAATGGTGGTGGTAAGGTGGGAGTCCACTGAAGTTGGTGCTGCTCATGGATTGGACCACCACCCCCACTTCATTTCTTCCTTTTCATTGTTCTCAAAATATTCAAAGAGCAGACAGTCCACTTTGGGGGTATGAATTGGTCCTCATTTGTAAACCCACCCAACACGTGGTGGCCTCTCAGTACACACTCAAGTTCTAGGTACCAAAAGGGAGGGGAAGAAAAGGAAGAGAACACTTTCTAAAGTCTAAACCTGTGGTGGTATCAATGCTTCCTCAGATTCAGTCATGAAAATGTATGCATTTTCAACCACAGCTATGGATAATTATGTTAAGGATACGAGGGGAATCGAGAATGTCTCTTTTTTGTTGAATTGGGATCATTTAAAATTGGGTCGAACATTTAATTATAAAATTTGGCCCACAAGTCCTAACTTCATGGCTTGACAGATTTGAATACATAATACTCACCGGACAATATAAAAGAAGGCTAGCGATACCCAGTAATTGAAGTTATTATATACTATACTATGACATTATATATGTATTGGAGTATGTATACAATTGAAGTGTGTATATAATCAGTATGTGTGAAATTTGAGAGAAAAATATATCCTCATAAATTCAAAAACCAACTATCTTATTATATAGATATCATGAATGTTAACATTGCATGTGTAAATGCTAGAGTTTATGAAAAAAAAAGATATTAAANACTTCATGGCTTGACAGATTTGAATACATAATACTCACCGGACAATATAAAAGAAGGTTAGCGATACCCAGTAATTGAAGTTATTATATACTACACTATGACATTATGTATGTATTGGAGTATGTATACAACTGAAGTGTGTATATAATCAGTATGTGTGAAATTTGAGAGAAAAATATATCCCCATAAATTCAAAAACCAACTATCTTATTATATAGATATCATGAATGTTAACACTGCATGTGTAAATGCTAGAGTTTATGAAAAAAAAGATATTAACGTAAAAGTTCAAATAAGTGTGCCGATTTCCCTTGAACCATAGTACCAACCTCTTGGTGAGATGTAAGGCTGATAATAGTTTGTGTTGAATTCGTGTCGTGCACAAATCGACTCAATCAGTATGATTTTATGTCGATCTATTTACTTTATGGACCNTGCCGATTTCCCTTGAACCATAGTACCAACCTCTTGGTGAGATGTAAGGCTGATAATAATTTGTGTTGAATTCGTGTCGTGCACAAATCGACTCAATCAGTATGATTTTATGTCGATCTATTTACTATATGGACATTACAAATCAACTTGACTATGATTGAAAATCGTTAATGAATAAAGGTGAGTATGTAATAAAAGATAGATATGCTATCTCACGCAAGCAATGTTGTCACCTTCCCTTAATATATGCTACCATACTACCATCATTGTGTCCAATGATAAAATATTGAAGGAACAATACCCACTTTAGGTTTGTCTAATGCTCTGAACTTGCATATGTCCAGCCCTTAAACAATCCCCCCAAAAGATAATCCCATCTCAACATGCTCTCCAACAAAGCATTATTTAATTATAGACTTTGCTTAGTGACATGTCACATCTATTTGTTTTAGGGAAAAATATGCTGGCCACAAAATTTAGGGACCCTTGTGTCCCAAGGTCCAAAATTCAAATCTAGATTTTCAAACACTTCCCTAGATTTTCTACATAAGATATTACCCGACCTTGAAGAGTCAACATAGTTAGGATTTTAAAATATTTGAATTGGACACAATTTTCACATTTATATTTCAACTTTAAATGTAATAAATTTTCACATTTATATTTCAACTTTAAATTTAATAAATTTTGTTTTCCAAATAGTAATAAAGTGTCAATTCAGTCTAAATGACTTTCTGAGCTCACGCTATATTATGTTGGACTTCAAATTTCAAAGACGTATCTCTAAAATTCAAAGTCATCCGAGAAAAAAGATAATTTAAATTCTTTCTATTGCACAGTCTAATTAAAAATGATCAGATTTACAAAATCATACAAAGAAATACTATATTCTTGGTTCAATGAAGTCCATATCATAATAAGAAAACTTCACTATTGAGTCATAACCCAACCCCAAGAAAGGACAACCTAATACACGACACTCTAGTCATTGAAGAGTCAGAAAATTTATAATCCCGTCTTGTGATTTTTGAAAGAGGGAATGGATATGCACTTGAAGTGTATGCTACCATACCTCCGCATTGAATAGATAAACTGTCATTTGAAATGTTAGAAAATTGAACTATAAACAGTCTACAACTCATTCTAAAGTGATCACAATATCACAATGCTTACCATTAGTATTTACTCTTGAGTATGGAGTTGAGAAGTGGTAGCCACACCCACTGCAAACTCAAAGATAATGTGTTGTGAAAGCCCTCTTCTCAAGGTGAACCATAACATGTCACTTTCACAATCCTTCATTATAGGGTCAACCAGAGTATGCTATGTTCTTACTTTGGCTTCCTTTTCAAATCCAATGCTCAAATCTATTCATTCATTGCTGCATTTCTATCAGAAGAAAGTTGGCAAATGTCTTGTCTTTTCAATAATCCATAGGACCATTAGTACTACAAAGTCGACAGATGAGACTGCAGGGTCCAAAATCAATCCTATAATCATCATCTTCTTCTTCTTCTTCTTTTTTAATAACCAAAAATCGACCCAACCAAGTATCATTTAAACAAGAAGCTAAAAAGCTAACAATCACCTGCATAGAATGTTTATCGAATCAATCATGTTGTTTCTTCCTAGATATTCCAATCACTGAAAACTTCCCCATCTGAACTATTGTCATGATACCATACTATAAACTTAGTTGATTGGTAAATTGTTTTGTCTAATAATAAGCTAAGCATATAGTGGGTTACATCTCCCATCAATGAATTCCAGATTGGAAACTATTAGTGGCTTAAAATGATCCATTCCCACCAATTACAATCTTAGTTGGATGGTATCTTTATTAAACTGAGTCCCTTATTTCAACCCACAAGGGTCTAAAATTCTACAACTTTGACTAACAGGCCTTCTACTTATTAAGCCAGATTAAATCTTTCTTTTGTCAAATTCACTGAGACACAATGGGTTAAGTATATCACGGCAAGTTGAGAGAATAGAAGAGAATGTAAAAGATTAAAATACTCGTTCATTTTTGACGTGTNTTTGTCAAATTCACTGAGACACAATGGGTTAAGTATATCACGGCAAGTTGAGAGAATGTAAAAGATTAAAATACTCGTTCATTTTTGACGTGTCGAAAGATATTGGTAGGGAGAAAAATTTTGACACGCTTTTATATGTAGACCACACTTTATATTTCACGTCTTATTCATCTCAAATGCTAGCTAGACTCCAAATGTTATGCATCTACTTCGAGATTTAGGTTTTCAAATGGGGCGGCACTACTAATCCTTGATTATGATCCTCTTAAATTTAAAATATTTTTAATTTGATCAAGTGTTATCATTAAATTTATGGAATTCACTGTTTACATCTAATAATAAAATTTAAAAAGTTTATAAGAAATAATTGAATTTGATCGAAATAGATAAAACTTATCTCTATAAAGAAAGCATTGCCCTTTTTCTTTCCCCTCCACATTCCCAAAGGAGTGAATGGAATGAAATAGAAGGTGATTTAGCTGAAAAAGGAAGGAGAGAGAAAATGGGGAATACCGACCAACTGAGCTAAGAGGACACGTGTTGAAGAGCCACAGAACAATATACTTTCCACTAACCGAACTTTCAGGGTTCAAAGTCTTCACGTTTCTAATCGATTTATTCACTATAATTTTCAAGAAAAAAGTGGTCACCTTTCCACCTCACCAAACAATAAACAAGTCTTATGCACAAATTCACCACTATGATCACTATCCCACCACTCACCACCCCTAGTTTGCCACACCCAACCACCACATAATTGGTGTTCTAATCAATTGGGATACTTCCATGAGTGGAAAATAGTTGGGAGGAATAAAATATCAAAGGTTTCGATTTGGAGATCTTAAGTTTAAATCTTATTGTTCATCATCCAATCTATATGAGACGATGAGTTGTTTCATCCATTNAATTGGGATACTTCCATGAGTGGAAAATAGTTGGGAGGAATAAAATATCAAAGGTTTTGATTTGGAGATCTTAAGTTTAAATCTTATTGTTCATCATCCAATCTATATGAGACGATGAGTTGTTTCATCCATTTATATTCTATATTATAGTAGTGGGTCTAGAATACTCCTTATAATCTCGGATTAGGATAAGATTCAATAGTAAAACTCTATCATTGTGAATTAAGTATCAACAATTTGGATAACAAAAATAATTTTTATACATGTGTGAGCAAAATATATATATATATTTAATCTTCCNAATTAAGTATCAACAATTTGGATAACAAAAATAATTTTTATACATGTGTGAGCAAAAAAAAAATATATATATTTAATCTTCTCAAAATTTATATTTAACGAGAATCTCATCCACCAGACTATGTATCTATGTTTTTATCATATTCCACTGGAACTATAGGTTATGTTATTTTCTAGTGTACTATGCCATGTGTAGACGTCATTTGGAGTACCATATGATCCAAAAATGGAATTTGGTTCATGATCAATTTAGTACATTTAGGACCAAGGCTAATGTCCAAACCTTAAAAAAAAAAATAATGTACAAACCTATTTTGACATTTTCTCTAAGAAAGGCCCACACTAGCTCCTGTACCACTAGTCCTTTGCTATTTTTGATGATGTATTAACAGCTTTCAAATTAAATGCTATTAAATGTTTCTTCACCATGGTACAAGGAAAACTTAGAGAGTTCGCTGGGCTTTCAAGTCATGAAGAAATATCTAGACGTTAGCTCTAGAAATGAGTAGACATTTGAAGTCAACCTTAAGTCGCCTAAGGTTAAATTCGACGGCAGATAAACCCTCGACAACCTAAGCTCGAGTGCAATTTATTCAATGTGTGGGGTTTAGAATAATGTGTCCCTTCATACGACAACAAGTCTAAAGAACAATAACAGGGACAATTCTATAGGGTTGATAAATCTTACTATTTTTTATTTGTTTTAACTTTTTTATTTTGTTTTTTGAGAGGGAAGAGGAAGGAGAACTTGAATCTTTGACCTCATAAGGTAAAGAGTACCATTGGACCAAAGAGATAAATCTTACTCCGCCTCATACAAAAAACAAAAAAGCTATAAGGTATAAATTTAGTTTTAATAAATAATTAAACAGGGAACAAATCTGAACCACTAACCGTCATAATTATTTTTTGTTAAAAAAATGCAAATTGCCTAAACATAGTATGAATGCATGTATGTATGTGATTCGTATGTTGAAGTAGAAAACAAAAAATTACGTACCATTTGCGAGATCAAGCAGAAAATCAGCAGGATTCATGGGAAAAGACGGCGAGAACCCAACAGACTCAAAGTAACTCATGGCCTCACTTCCCTTCCCAAAATACAGACACCTTCCCTCGGACAAGACCAGAACCAAGTCAAACATCTGGTAAACCCGGCTCGATGGCTGGTGAACCGACGTCACCACCGTCTTCCCCTTCTCAGCCACCGTCCCCAGCGTCGAAAATAACCGATACGCCGTCGTCGAGTCCAACCCCGATGTGGGTTCATCAAGGATCAACAAGCTAGGGTTTATCAGCATCTCATGTGCTATACTCACTCTCTTCCTCTCTCCTCCTGAAACGCCTCGTATGAAAGTGTTGCCAATGATTGTGTTCTGGCATTTTACCAAACCCAGCTCGGAAATCACTGAGTCGGCCATGGAGATTTTCTCTGCCTTGGAGAGAGAGTTTGGCAGGCGAAGAAGAGAGCAGAAAACTAGGGTTTCGCGTACTGTGAGATGTGGGTAGAGGACATCATCTTGCGTCANGAGTTTGGCAGGCGAAGAAGAGAGCAAAAAACTAGGGTTTCGCGTACTGTGAGATGTGGGTAGAGGACATCATCTTGCGTCACGAACCCGGTTCGTTTCAAGACCGGTTTACTGAGTTTCCGGTTGTTGGCGAGGACTGTTCCTGTGAGGTTGTGTCCTTGGAGTCTCCCTGCAAGTGCGTTAAGGAGCGTTGATTTGCCACTGCCGGATGGGCCGAGAACAGCTAGGATTTCACCTGGGGACACCATTCCTGTGATTCCGTTCAAGATCGTCCGCTCTTGAATTGAGACCGTTGACCTTTGATCAACGGAATACGTGGGTCCCCTACTGAACACCCTTTTAAAACTTCCATTGCTCTTATTTTCTTGCTTTACCCTGTAACACACGTCCATAAACTGCATGACAAAAACGCAAACAGAAGAGTCAATTTTGATGGTCAACTGAGTCTCATGATTTTCTGTCCCCGAGTCAACAAGGTTAACTCAGAGTCAATTCATTTATTATTGGTAATACGATAAATCACAGTGCCTACATTTTTATACTCTGGATGTTTGCCCAAAGAATAGATATAAAAATGTTAGATATTGGATGTTTGTCTGACCAACTCCTAAGTGAGACGTTTATCAAGTCAATGAATTACTACTAGGTCAGTCCCTCGGAGTTATATATGTGTATATATACCTTGAGGGTGATAGGATAACAGGGAGAAAGTATGGATTGGAAGTCATGGGAGTTGGCAGCCCGACAAGGTTCTCTGGACAGATCTCCATTTGGTGTTTCTGCTTCACCAAACCCTGGCATTTTTTCACTGGCACTCTCTCAAGAAAAGGAGAGGAGAAAGAAATGTTGGGAGGGAGAGAGAGAGAGAGTGATGGAGAGTTTTGGGAGAGGGAGGAGGGAGAGCGAGCTGGATGGAGAGAACAGAGGGCTCTAACTTGGAGGCCTATTTATTTGGTTTTGAGCTCCTAGTGGTTGCCACGTCAATATGAAATTCCCACAGCACATGCCACGTGGCATTAGACTCAAAAGCCACCTGTCCCTTCTTTGTTAAAGTTTGCGCTCATGAAAACTGGCCAATATTAAGCGCCGTTCCACTTCCATATATCTTTTCCATCTCTCTCTTACATAAGAGAGGGAGAGAGAGATGAAAAAAAAGTTGGAAAATCTGGGGACAAACTTTCCTATCCTTTTTTTATAATTTTAAATAGTAGCTTTGTAGTTTTCAAAATTATAATAACACCCAATCAATTTTTTCTCTGCCTTTCAATTATTAATGAGCAATGTTAAGGCTCTAACAGACTCCTAAATTCATGGGAAAAAATTTAGAGATATTAATCAATAAGGGTCTAACTACAATGTGGAAAAATTATTTTTCAGAATTATTATTATTTTTTTAACAGTCATAGATTTTTTTGGCTGAATAGAGAGAGATTCAAAGTACTTGGTGTTTGTGTAGAGAGAGGGGGGAGAGAGACTGGGTGTTGGGTATTGGAAAAGTGTGAGAAACCTAAAAAAGGGCACCGGAATATAAGCCTTTTCCGAGGGTACCTTCCAGTGGAGACACGTCAAGGGTGATACACCGTTTGCCCTTCTGTGTTCTTCAGTGGGGTTTCAGACTAAAGCGACAGGAGCTTTACGTCGACTGTGACGCAAGAGCAATCCATTGCACTGCTTGAACTACATTTTCTCAACAAAAATACGGACNTTTACGTCGACTGTGACGCAAGAGCAATCCATTGCACTGCTTGAACTACATTTTCTCAACAAAAATACGGACCCTACCCTCATCTTTCATTGTTTCTGAGGTTCAGTAACATAGTTATCTAGACGATATGACTGAGGTACCATAAAAAAAACTGAACAGTAGTGTGCCACACATCATTTTGTGGGTTTTAAAAAAATAATTGTTTCATTTAATGGTGATGTGCATGTATTTAAAATATAAAATTTAGGTTTTGATTTGAACAACATGACATTTCTCAAAAAATATTTAACAATGTTAAGTTCATCAAAATTTTTAGCAAATTTTCTAAATTAATAGGCCCCACAAATTTTCACAAAAGCATCCAACAACTATGCATATGCCACATCATTTGAGATTCAAAATTTGATTAAAGTTTTAATGGCGTTTGCATCATATTGTACACTTTTGTTAATAACAATGAATGATATCTACTGGCAGGGAATGCCTACAAAATGAGCATCAATTACAAGAAGAAAGACCCGATCAGATCATCAAAGACCCATGATTTGAACATTTTTAAGTGTGGTGTTTAATATAATTTAGAATAAGAATTATTAGTACTATAATTAAGACTGATTTATCAATCTCTTGTAACGAATATTACTACTCAAATTAATAAAATTGTTCTCTTTTGTTAATTCCAGTGACTTTTGTGATTGAATTCATTTAAGAAAATCTTGAACCCTATTCAAGTAAGCACCTAGAAAGATTATGTTAAAGGGATTACACATGTTGATCTCCGAAGAAATCCTTTGTATACCAACGTATGAAAACAATATTCTAAAATAAATAAACAATACTACATTCGGTTATTAGGCAAAAAATAAAGGTATAATATTAAAAATTTATTTTTTGGCACCATAATCAAATCGGTTAGATGTTCTTGAAGAATCTAAAACATGGAATGCTTAGCTAACAAAATATGATTTAATCTATCTAACTCGCTTTATAAATAAGTTGTGCTTAGGAGGATATATTCCATGAACTAAACGAGTTGTGGATATATCTTCTTTTTTTTTTTTTCAAAAAAGGCATACTTAAATAAGAAGAGGAGGACTCGGCATTAGGAAAAACAAACCACCCTTTGCCTTAATTTTATTTTTGGTAGGAACCCCTTGTCTTGATTGAACTTGGCCCGCTGTACTTTGATTAATCAAAAAGTTAATTGATTTATTCACTCCATTTCCTTTAGTAAAAAACTGGAATAATTAGTTTACGAGATAGTTCAAGTGGTAATAGGGATAAATTGTAAACTCAAACATCATGAGTTTAAATTTTAACAACCTCTTGGAGTCAAGCTATAAGGGATAAATCCCTCATGAATACCTCAATCTCGACATAGATGGTATGTCTTTAATCAGACCAGGGAGAGAATTAGTCAAGATTACACGTTGATACCCTCAAGAGTAAACCCAATCTATTTATCTTCCTCTTATTCTTCTCTCCAAGACTCTCCTAGACTTTTTGGGGTTGAAACAACATGTATAAGACCTCTAAAATAAGTCCGTAAGGTATTTATAGTGACAATATAGGAGAAACACACTCAGAAAAGGTCGAGGATGGACAAATTTTTGCCTCGTGTGTCTAGACGCACGTTTTGTCCCTAAATTCTAGCTTGAATTTAACCTAGTTGGAAGCCGGTTCACAAAATGTTAATGAAATACACTTTTTGTAACCTTTCAAGTCTACTTCCAATTCCGTAAGAATTAGAGAGTTAAGGGTAAACATTTATGGCAAATAAACCACGCTCCATATAGATTTTCTACTTAGTGCATTTGTAACCACTTTGTTTTCCTTGGATGATAATGCAATTTCATATCATAGTCATTGTTTAGCTCTAGCCACCTCCGTTGTCCCATGTTCAGGTCACTGTGCGGATAAATACTTGAGACTTTTATGATTTGTATATATCTCATATGTCTCTATAAAAAATAGTGTCTCCATATCTTCACTGCAAACACCACATTTGTCAATTCTAAATCATGTGTTGGATAGTTTTGGGTATAGGGCTTCAACTGCCTAGAAGCATAAGTCATAGCTTTCCTACATTGCATCAATACATAACCCAACTCTTTTCCTGAAGCGTCACAGTAGATATTATACACACCAACCTCTATAGGTATGGTAAGAACCGGAGCAGAGACCAATCTTTCCTTTGAGTTGTTAAAACTCTTTTTACAATCATCAATTCACTGAAAAACTACCCTCTTCTATTTCAACTGGGTCAATGGAATAGGTATTTTGGAGAAACCCTCTACAAATTTTCTAGACCCAAGAAACTACATATGTCAATCACATTAATTGGTTGAGGCCAATTTTTAATTGCTACCAGTTTCTGAGGATCCATTGATACCCTTTCCTTAGAAATCATGTGTCCCAAAACTGATACATTGGTCAACCAAAACTCACATTTCTTAAGTTTGGAATAAGCTTTCGATCCCAAAGAGTCTGTAGAACAATTTTCAAATGTTGCTAGTCATAGAGTAATATACTAAAAGTTTATTTTTTATAGTGAAACTCGTATTTATTAATTAATAAAAATTTATTCTTTCCATTTTATTGAAAATCTATATGGGCAAAATATTTGTATTATATTTTATATATGATATGCATGTGTGTCTTATATTTTACATTGTAGATAAGCTAGTGTGTAGAGTTCAGCCTATGTACAGATGACCAAATTATTGGATCCTTATATAATATGAGTATATGTTCACAATCGTAGATGAAATTGCACACGTCATCGGTATGATTGTAGTGTAATATTATGACATAGTTTGTCTTAACTATAGAATATTGTTTGATGTCTCGGATTATTGCACTAGTACACGAACAGACTTATGTTGATATTATTATCTTTTACTGATTTAATAAAATAATAAATACCTCATGATTATTATGATTGCTTATGCTCTTAATCCCTAAATATTTAATTACCACGTGTACATAATATTTATCACTTTGATTCATCAAAGAGTGAAATTCATGTTGGATCATAAGCTCGATTAATTGGAAGACGATGTTATTTGTATGATGAAAATTAAATATTAAAGAAAAACATGTCCTAGTATTTAAATAAGTTGATGATGTCCTCTTGAGGAAGCTCTTAAGTTTTGTCCATATCAAACCCTATAGGTGAATTTAATTATCTGACATGATAAATAAGTTGAGTGGTAAGGTCTCAAGGAATAAAAGAAGTCAATTAAATATAATTGTCAGTGATTTATTTAATTAATGGACATATATAATTTTAGACGTGACGAGATTATTAAGCATATAATAATGAGTTTAAATATAATTTTTANTAATGGACATATATAATTTTAAACGTGACGAGATTATTAAGCATATAATAATGAGTTTAAATATAATTTTTAGATAAGACTCAAGAGATCAATAATAAGTCTTTAGTGGACTGACTTATTATTAATGGAATATAAGATGTCTGTTCTGGGTTGAACATAAGAAACCTAAGTCGATTGGGAGCCCGGTCCTTATTTCTTCTTAGAGTCTCTATCGTAGTTTATATAAAAACGTCTAGGTTCTCTATTTCAACATCTTATCTTTACTCACGTTTTTTAGGGAGGCTGAAAGAGAAAGCAAGGATTCCAAGGTCTTGGCAACCCACACTACATCCGAATTCCAACGTTGGGGGATATACGACAAAAGATCTCGAGGTTCGTCGAGCTGTAGTCGTTGTTCTGTTCTGCATTCGTGCTAAAAAGAGATTTCGAAGGTAAACCATAATTCTGCCTTGTAAGGTTTTAAAGGAAAATTTTTTATATTCGATGCATATGTGTTGTCAACGACTTTTGGAATTTTCGTTCCAACAGCTTGTGTTCCTCAGTACTCTTCATGTACACCAAGATGTCAGCAATAAAATATCATTACAAAATGATTCAAGTACTACTTAAACCCCCTATTCACGAGATCCATACAAGGTTGTTGGTGCATTAAGTCCCATAACAAGTGCGGAAAGCAGTCTTTGACACATTTTGCTTTTATCTTCAACTGGCAGTAACCCGTTCGAAGGTCAACATTCAAGAATAATTTAGCA